CAAATTTACAATTCTTGCATTGTTTCTAAAACACTAGATCTTAATGCGAATGCTTTATCTAAAAATTTACATAGTTGCAATATTCTACTTTTATTTCCTGATGACATAATAGAATAGAACTTATTTAAAGTTGGAAAAGATACATGTTTTATAAAAGATTTTCTCAGTTCTGAATATAAGGGACAACATAATAAGAAGTGGTATTCTGATTCAACATTTTGATACGGGCATAATTTACACAAATCTGTTATTTCTATCAGTTCTCATATATCTACCTGTTTCTATTTCTAAGGAATGAGAACATAATCTAAAACATGATAATTGTTTACGTAAATTGTCATTTTTTACAAAATTAAGATATTCCTCGAAACAAAACTGTGTTTTATATTTCTTATAGTAGTCAAGCTTTGGCATATTATCTATACAGTCATGCCACTGTTGTAAAAATTGATCTCTTATTCTCTGCTTAAATAACATATTATAATTGACATTAACTGCATAGTCATAAATAATGTACGGGAAGCCCATATCAGTAATAACAGAGTGAACGCGTTTAGCCCAGCATTTATCATTCCCATTAATACATTGGTCTAAATAAATATGGTATATAGCAATAGTAAGAACGATATATTGATAAACATGTGATGCATGATAATAATTTAAACAATTACATACATTTACAAGCAACATACAACATATACAAATGTTAAAACAAATCAATGTTTGAAAATTACAAGTTCACATATTGAACTTTAACAAATAATAGCGTTGAAATGACAACATGGAAACTTTAATACATTTTCACCCGAATAACGACTAATTTACACTTGTGCTAGCAATCGGAATCCGGACCATTCAACCTTTCAGTTTCATCCATTAACAAGGAGGAAATCATTTAGGGTATGACCATAACCCCATGCTATAATTATGAGTTATTGTTAATAAATGTGTAAGCAAAAGATATTTTGTAAAGTCAGTAAAGGACGATTACCTGACTTATACTCATGGTTGGGACGGGGAGAATAAATTGGATGGGACCCGAAAAAAAATGTTTTAAAACTTCATAAAGGATCATTCATATTTGTTACAGAAATTGTACACAATATATTAGCCTGCGTCCCAGTCTGTCATTCTTATGTGTTTCTGTTCGGCTGATCGATATTATCTAAAACACGAACAAGTATGAAATAACGCGTATGTATGTAATGAATAAGCAAAAAATATCAACGCTTGAATCCCAGGCGTACCATACATAAAACAAGTTTACGCCGCTACCTTCACAAAAATGATAAAAGATCTCTCATAGTGATCCTTTGCTTATATATCTTTTAAATAACAAAAACTTCATTCAATAACATTTTTATATCATTTCAATAACAGTAAAATTTTAAAAGGTCACCAACTTCAGAAAAATTATAAAATTTGATCTCAAAGTGATTTTTTCTTTTTATTTATCCTTTAGATAACAAGAATTGTCTTTAAAACTTCATAAAATGCCGTTTTATTGTTAAAATAACATTTCTACAACATTAAACTTTTTGGCCGCCAGGCCGCCAAGCCGCTGGGCCGCCAACTTCACAAAAATGACAAAATAAAAAAGTTCTCTAAAAGTGATTTTTTCTTTTGATATATCATTTAAATAACAATAATTATCTTTAAAACTTCATTAAATGATGTTTTATTGTCAAAATAACATTTCTACAACATTAAAATTTTTGGCCGTCAGGCCGCTGGGCTGCCAGGCCGCCATCTTCACAAAAATGAGAAAATAAAAAAGTTCTCTGAAAGTGATTTTTTCTTTTGAATTATCGTTTAAATAACATTAATTATCTTTAAAACTTCATTAAATGCCGTTTTATTGTTAAAATAACATTTCTACCACATTAAAATTTTTGGCCGTCAGGCCGCTTGGCCGCAAACTTCACAAAAATGACAAAATAAAAAAGTTCTCTGAAAGTGATTTTTTCTTTTGATATATCCTTTAAATCACAATTATTATCTTTAAAACTTCATTAAATGCCGTTTTATTGTTAAAATAACTTTTTTACAACATTAAAATTTTTGGCCGTCAGACCGCTGGGCTGCCAGGCCGCCATCTTCACAAAAATGAGAATATAAAAAAGTTGTCTGAAAGTGATTTTTTCTTTTTATATATCCTTTAAATAACAATAATTATCTTTAAAACTTCATTAAATGCCGTTTTAGTGTTAAAATAACATTTCTACCACATTAAAATTTTTGGCTGCCAGGCCGCCAACTTCACGCCGCCAGGCCGCTGGGCTGCTGGGCCGCAAACTTCACGCCGCCAGGCCGCTAAACCGCCAACTTCACGCCGCCAGGCCGCCAGGCCGCCAACTTCACACATCTCTATGACAGCCCTATCTTATAGTTTCTTATCGGTTGATAGCCTCAGGGAATATTGATAGATCTTGCATAAATGCTTTGGATTTTTTTTTTCTTTTGATATGATTTGGGTAGTGCTTTGACATAGTTCTGACTTCAAAAACGTACATAATTACGGAATGCCGTTAGGGCCATTGCCTATGAATGTGTTGATCTGAAACGCGATAGTCGATAGTACGATGGTGAAAACGCGAAATCACGAAACTACGATGGTGAAAACGCGAAAGCACGATGATGAAAACGCGAAAGTACGATGATGAAAACGCGACAGTACGATACTACGATGATGAAAGCGCGATAAACTATCGTGTTTTCACCATCGTACTGTCGCGTTTTCACCATCGTAGTTTCGTGATTTCGCGTTTTCATCATCGTACTGTCGTGTTTTCATCATCGTACTATCGCGTTTTCACCATCGTACTATCGCGTTTTCACCATCGTACTATCGCGTTTTCATCATCGTACTGTCGTGTTTTCATCATCGTAATATCGCGTTTTCACCATCGTACTGTCGTGATTTCATCATCGTACTATCGCGTTTTCATCATGATGGTGAAAACGCGAAAGCACGTTGGTGAAAACGCGACAGTACGATGGTGAAAACACGATAGTTTATCGCGATTTCATCATCGTACTATCGCGTTTTCATCATCGTGCTTTCGCGTTTTCACCATCGTAGTTTCGTGATTTCGCGTTTTCACCATCGTATTATCGACTATCGCGTTTTATGTCAACACATTCATAGGCGATGGCCCTAACGGCAATCCGTTCAAACCCCCAAAGAAAAGGGGGCACGTCCCCCTTCTGGCAACCCCCTGATGTAATATTTGGATGGGGGACGGCGCGGAAAAATTGGTCACTTTTTTAACAACATTTCTCAAACGAAAAACAGTGTTTGGGGCCTAAATATGACATTTTTTCACCGTTTGAGGCCTCAAAAAGGGGGGGGGGCAAAAAGCCGCCGAAACACGCTTATATAAGGGAAAAGGTTAATATCTTATATACAATGATTATGCTCAAATTTAAAGTTTTATTGTTGGTCATTTGATTACAAGTTTATAGATCGTTTAATAGGGATATATATTAATTAATATCAAAGGTATAAGAGTGGATCATTACAAACACTGTCACAACACTGTCTATATATCAATAAGAGACATGATGTGGGATTCCTGGTATAATACGACATTGAATTAAGCGCAGCCGTCCTGTCACAGAATAAAAAATAGTACTAGTATACGGACGTAATCGAATTTTCGTGTCGTAACGCTTCCCCTTGAATTTCAACAGCTGCGTAGTCGTCTGGGTAGCATTTTACACGGCTCCACTAAAGGCGTGCAATGCACAGCAGAACATTCATTTGCATCCATTTTACGCCCGCGTCAACTTCGTTTGTATTTCAAGAAAAAATCTTTTTATTAAAGAAATAGCATTAATTACAATCATCAAAGTACGTCTTCAAAATCATTCCGAGTCAATTATATGTGTAACATTATTTATTAAGCAATCTAATATGACGAACAGATTAACCAAATACGTTTTCAATGAAAATTGTGAAAAGAGATACATTAGGAAATATTTTCTTATGTGATTTTACATATATAATAATATATAACCATAAGAATAGATTTGCAATATCAGCTCTATGTATTGTCTGTCGCGAATCTTAATTAAAGGCATTGCCACATGGTTTTCATTTTTTTAAAAGATTTTTTTATGGAATAATGGAGAAAAATTCATAAGTCCTTCGGAATTCAATCTGCCACTATTTTTAATCTTGGACAAATTATAAAAAAAAAATAACATTCTGATTTTCATGTGTTTCACATTTAAACGATGGATTTGTTTGTCAGAAAATCATAGAGAAAACAAGAACATTGTAATTCAATCTTACATCCGGCAATTTCAGTCTGTGTATTATTATAAAACATTGCAATTAAATTAGTTATAAGTCATTTGCTCTGGCTTTAGAGAAAATCAATTCGTAAAACATTCATCTTGACATGTTGCTGATTTCCATATCATATCACTGGTACCCATAACGTCCCAATAGCAAGAATTAATCTGTATCATGTATTGTTTAATGAACTTATAGCATTGATATGAAATTTATGAATGCATCCGTCAATGGTTTTATGTTTGTCAATGAACGATATGTATTTAAGCATTGTTATATTGAATTTTGCGATTCATTCCCTTCAATCAGCGACCAACCTAATGAGTCAGTATAGAATAAACCCCAAATTTTACATGTATTCCGGTATTGGAGTTCACTCTTCCTCGAAGCCGCTTATCATTTAATGGAAATGGTCTACTGGCCGGGGTACGTTTTGATATTAGTTACCTTGTGTAAGCAGTTAAAGAAATTAAATGACTCAAGATATAAGTTTGGTAAATTTACCCCACTGAGGCTATTATTTCCTGGAGAAATACAAATTTTGTTCTGGCCAGGGTATTATCCCTCCAAATCAAAGCAATACAGATTGACTTTGATAGAAGATTGTAACTCGATCAAAGTTACTATGCAATCTAAGTACCAGTATACTTCTTGGCTTGTGGCCATTTGGTATGGGAATGATTAAAAAAGGCTAATCATGAAATTTATAAAGACTATATTTTATTATTATGCAATGTGTAAAAAATTCCATCAATTTGATTGAATATATGATGTCTGTATCTACATAAATCGGAAAATTTTAATAATCTCAAATACTTATCATTCAATAACAGTAAATTAAACTACAGGTGAACAAGGTTTATTCAAAATTTACAGAAAGTCATGAAAATATAAATACATATTTTGTCATATTAAATTAGAAGTCTTTGTCATGTAATGAAATAAAGGAATGAAATGATCATGAAAATAAAAGAAATATTCACGTACAACATATAATCAAAATACCTCAATAATTATTACCTATCTTTTATAAAATGTATAATTATATTAAAATCACGTTAGACATTTATGGTCTTATTTTAAGACATAATCGCTGGCTCTAACAAATACAGCGACAATATAGCGAAGAATATAATTCTCAAATTACCGAAAAAAGTAGAAATATAGCTTTTATCAAATCTCTAAGAAGAGACAATTTTGTGTTATTTTCTTCTAATTATCACTAACAAATACGGAGTTTTTTCCATGAAATATTCTCAATCACAGTAAAAGATATCATTTTTTGTTTTATCTTGACGACAAATTCGTTAAAAAAGTAAGATAACTTCAACATATAGACGAAATTCAACAACTATAAAATATATTTATTTCAATCCGCTCTCAAAACATTACAAGCTCAACCGGATGTATTGTGATAATATGAAACTAAAATTATGTAAAACAAAACAGTGCTTAAACCTACGATAACAGAACACACAAGAAAAACCAACAAAGAAAAGTCACTAAATCTTTTTAAGATACGTCTATCTTAAGAAATAAAATCAAGTTACCCAAAATAAAGCCACACATGAAACATGTTTTCATTTAAAATGATACAGTTCAGATCTCTCCACATATACAACTTCATCACTTAAAGCACATCAAGCGACTTAAAGGAATACATAATTATTGTCAACATAAGTATTATTCGTGATATTGCTTAGGTACCTCCATAAAGGCCACGATGATGACAGTACTTAACTTTACAAAACAAATATGCTTCATAAACTGACAGTGAAAATGCTAAATTTTATTTAGAAAATATTATATTAACTACAAACAGTTCTAAAATCTAATTGTGATAAAAAAATATATATAGTCTAGATTACAGTTTTGCAACAAACTACCACAAAAGAATGAGTATTAATATCCATGTATCAGTAACAAGAAATAATAACAACTTTACAATAACGAATAAACATTTGTTATTTTTTATATACAAACATATATAACATTTATTGCCAAGCATTTTGCAAATTATTGCCAATCTGAATAAATATCACATCTATTCATTTATTATTTTTATTCAACGTTTCTATCAATTTCGTCAGCATCAAACGGGTCTTGTCATGTTTCCAATGTCTTTGTAATATTAAGATTTCTAATATCTATTAGTTATTTATCCGACGTGCAAATTTTAAAACTTTAAAATCATTGTCATCCGCCGAGCCAGTGCAATGTTTCTCATAATGTTTATGGTCTTTCATATCCCGGATTATTCTTGCCCTGAAATTGAAAGTGACCACCCACGTGTTACATTTGTATATTTCTTTTATTTCTACATTTACCTTCATTATTACATATTAACATTTTGAAAACTCAAACTGAATAAAAATAGATCTGCAAAAGACACTTTTTATAATGTCCTTGATTGTAAGTAATACTTATATCTTAAAGTTTGTTTGTTTGTTTGGGTTTTACGTCACACCGACCCAATATCTTATAGTAAACGTGTGATAGAAAGACTCGTTAATAAAGGAAACAACTCACTGAATCCGAACTTGCAATATTTTGTAGCTTCTGATGTAACTATTGTTGTACCATCAATATATTTGTTATAAAATTAGCTTATTATAAGCATCAATAGTTTTTTTAAATATCATTTTTATCTAAATAAATCATACCTGGATATCACTGAATGGTATATCTTTGTTGCTAGACTTGTTGGCCTTTTTGTAACACTGTAAATTAGCAAGTAAATAAAGGTTAATAAAATGTGGACAAATTAATGCATGACAAACAATTTTGAGTCTAACCAAATACATGTCATGAGGCATATCACTTTAAAGTGAGATTTGATTAATGGCCTGCGAATTGTATTACAACCCTCTTTCACAAACAAGAGACAGCAAAGCTCGACTAATTAATTGGACGCAGTAAATGAAGACAAAACTATAAAAAAATAGTTATGAATTATAAATATATTTTGTATCAGCATCAAGCACGCAACATATAAATGTTCCATACTTTTGCACCAAAGTACATAATATGCATGTACCGTCAATAAAAGTTTAACATACATTTCTATGCATTTAATGAAAAAGACAACTATTTGAAATGTAAAGTCAATCCCTTTATTAACAAAAACTATAAGAGCAAAAAGCATTCAAAGTTCTTAGAGTAAAACAAAACTTACAAAACTTGAACATAAGTAGAAAGTACTTACATAAAAGGCAACCGCTATGGCAACAATGCAAACGACAACAACAACCACAACAACAATGATGACTGTTGTTTTGTTATCATCATCATCATCGTCCATTGGTGTAGGTTCGGTTGTTGGTCCAGTTTGAAATTCTACAGTTGCTTCCGATGCAACGAACGTTTCACCATCAGCATCTACACTAAATTCGCCCTGACTTATCTGTTAAATAATGAAGCATAGCACATTTATTTAAAACATTCATCTACTTTTACGGGACTCCGAAAAACGTCCTATTGGAGCGACATGGGATCACAAGGAAACATGTGTACGAGTTGTTACTATACTTGTTTATCTATCTCGACACACTAATCGGATACGAGCAATATAACTGAATTCTAAACATTTATGTCTTATAAGATATAAATAAGCAATTGATATAGTATACATTGTCGTTTGAGATATGACTTTTGTCTGAATAATCATTGTATTTAAACGTAGACTATTGATACACTTAAATCTGGTGGGTTTCGTGTAACTGTGACATTCTTTATGTGTAATCCTTCTACGATAAAAAAAATAGAAATGTCTTTACAAGGGAACAGTCACAGACATTCCGAAGATTCTCTTTTGTCTACGAGAGACACTGAAAAACTGAAGACACTTATCGTTCGATTTAAGCTCTGAATGATGCCCTTTTTGTCATGTTGTGTAATATATATCACCCCGGAAGTTTCAATGTGACTTACTAGACTGCAAGAAAATAACATCAGTGAAATGACTTCACCACATGAACCTGACCGTCAGGCGAGGGTTATATTGCAAACAACCGTTTATATAGGTCATTTAATGATTTTTACTCATGTTCAAACATTAACATCAATTAATTCAATCAAATATGTATTTAGTTTTATTATTATACTTACCTCTGTCGTTAAAGCGTTTGTAATTGACACAACATCTGTAGTGCCTGAATTTGAACATTCAGTCGTATCACATTCTACTAGCTCGATTTCAGCAATGATACTTCCAGTTTTGAGCTAAAGGTGTGGAAATAAAACTTTTACTGCCTATATATAACTCTAATGTACGGTATGCTTAATGTCATTTGTGCCTTAAATATATTTGTATTTCTCAAAAGCTTTTTATTTTAAGTGTCCCGTTTCGTAAAAAGTCTCAATTGCCATTTACTTGTACTATGTTTTAATTTTTCTTTGTTTCTTTTCTTTTCTTTAATTGTCATAAGCCCAGTAAAAGTGATTATTTGGAACGAAAGTTTCTTATTCAGCGCTACATTCTTCCAGATATAAGCATCTAACATGCTTGAAAACTATTATTTAAAGTTTTGTCTTTTCATAAGAAGAGTAAATTAATTTGTTTTCAAGGCAAATTGTGCTTTTAACAAAAATGTTGTTAGTGGTATTGTTGTTGCATTTTTTAGCTGTGTGTTTTAATTTCATTATCAGCCATTTAAACCAAACGCAGATATAAACAATTATATGACGTCTAAATTTAGAAGACGGTTATGGTGCAAACAGTATTCTGTAATGACACGAAATACCTTCTTTCCCTTCTTTAGAAAGGGCGAACACGATTTAATAACGCTTTAACAATGGTTTAAGAGCATGTAAGATGCTTGTTACAGAGAGAAAATAGGGATGACTGTGAAATTGTGTCATATATGTAAAAAAATGTTAACAAAGAACATGTAGTATCTTGACTTCCATACAATTACTTACTCACCATTATTGTTCTACAACATGTTTGTATTGCCAAAAAGCAACACAGTTAAACGATGGTTAACGTAAAAGCTAAATGAGTAACTTTTTGGAACCTATACCAGAACACCAAAATCAAAAGCTTTTGCAAAACAAAAGTAAAACCATTCTTGAAGCATAATGGGCCGTCAAATATACCGCATACTGTATATCATTTCGCACAATAGCGATATTTAATCCGAATTAGAGATTTCAGTTACATTTTAGTCTTAGATCTGTAACAAAACAAACAATTAAAAACATGACAAAAGAGGAAAGGAATATATACTGATACGATATGTAACTAGAAGAGGTTTTATCACAAAAACATATGTCTCCCAAAATGTTTGGTATGGTACTGATCACTCCTGTGAATTTTAGGCATAATCCCGCCAGCAGGTTGACCTTTAAAGCAGACAAGATTTTTCTATTTATAGCTCTGGTGCCCATTTGATGCAGCCAAGCAGATCGTGTCGGCGATATGCACAACTACGGATGGTACTGATCACTCCTGTGGAGTTTCATTGAAATCCAGCCAGCAGTTTTACCTGTGAAAGCCGGACAAGATTTTTCTATTTATTGCTCTGGCAGCCATCTTGTGCAGCGGAGCAAAATGTGCTGGCGATATGCATGACTAGGGATAGTACTGATCACTCCTGTGAAGTTTCATTGAAATACGGCCAGCAGTTTGACATGTTAAAGACGGACACAATTTTTCTGTTTATAGCTCTGGTGGCCATTTTGTGCAGCAGACCGGAGCGTGCCGGCGATATGCACAATTAGGGATAGTACTGATCACTCCTGTGAAGTTTCATTGAAATCCGCCCAGCAGTTAAACCTGTGAAAGCCTGACAAGCTGAATGCTACGGACAGACGACGAAGGCAAAAACTATATCTCTCCAAAAAGTTTGAGAGACATAATTATGTGTTTATTCTTTACTGTTTTATAATTAATTCTGAATAAATCGTCAACGATACATACCGTTACTTTGTTAACTATCACCGCGTATTTGTCCTCTATCTTTTTTTTAACGTTTCTGAAATAAATAAACAAGGAAACATGGTAATGCCACGAAACCAGGTTTTCAATTATCACCATTGTTTGGTTGACATTGAAATATAAATACAAGCAGCCTAGCTACAATATAACTTTATGTATTGAAACAGTCACAAGGACCACTTGGAGCTCAAAAGCAATCCAAATTAAGGCTTTCAAATACGGTAGGAATAATTTACAAGTTTAATTAAAATATCGTCCTTAATCTAGTTATAGACCTGAAACCAATTTTCCCTTTTAGTAACAGTTGCATTTTCTTGACCTTAATGAATACAAAAGATCTTCACATAAGCTTTTTGTACACCAAGTTTCTTGAAATATCTCATTCCAAACTTTAGTTATTGACCGGAAATCAATTTTCTATAAGTAACAGTGACCTAGACACTAGGGGGTTCAAAAGCAAGCCAAAGCAAAACATTAACATAAGATTTTTATACACAATTTATTATTAAAATATCTCACTCCAAACTCTAGTTACTGACCGGAAATCGATTTTCTGTTTACGTTGATCCTAGGGGATTCAAAAGCAATCCCAAGCATTATATAATAATATAATAATTACATAAGGTTTCTAAACACAAATTTTATTAATGAAATATCTCATTCCAAACTCAAGTTATTATCTGATTTTCTAATTTTAGTTACAGTGACTTTTATCATGACCCAGGAGACCTAAGAGCAATCATTAGCAAGGCATTTTCATGACCTTGCTTTACCCCAAGTCTCATTGAAATATCTCATTTATTACTCTAATTATTGACCGGAAACTGATGTCCTATTTTTAGTAACAATAACCTTAACCCTAGAGGCCCAAGAGCTATCCAGAGCAAGGTCTTTAAATAAGTTTGTTATACACCAAGTTTAATTGAAATATCTCATTCCTTCCTCTTGTTATTGACTAGAAAACGTTTGCTATTTTTAGTAACAGTGACATTGACCTTGACTGTACGAGACCCCAAAACAAGCAGATGAGCTTACAGGTGTGCATCAAGCTAGAAGGTGTTCGTTCAATAACTGTACTGACGTTTAGTTAAATGTAGTAAAATGCATTAGATTACGTATAATATATAACATAAAAAAAAAGGTTCATAATAAGGTCAAATTATACTAAATCAGAAAACTCTGACAATATGCTCCAAGGCACTAAATGATAAAGCTTCTGTTAAAGTTTTGTCAAAATCCTTTGAGAAATGTTGGAGGAGTTGCGAACAAAAGAAATTGTTCACTATATACATTTGTACTCGTATATTCATTCTATATAATAGAAAATCTCAAAGGCCATAATAACATCACAAATTATCGAATCACAAATCTCTGACAGTATGTGCCAGGGCACTTGATGACAAAGCTTCTGAAAAAGTTTCGACAAAATCCCTTGAAAAATAAAGGAGTTGCACATAGAAGAAATTGCTTATGACCGAAAACCGATTTTCGCCTCCGATGTACCTAATCTAATAACCAGTAATATTCCTTCGGAAAACCTAGTTAAAATACTAACATATTAACTCACACTCTATTTAAATTGAGTTTAAAAGATTTTACTCGATCATTCACAACCTTTGTTGGTATAAAGAGATAAGTTTTGTCATACAGTACAAATAATAAAGCATTTTCTATTGCCTCATGTATCAAAAACCATTAAGCATGGACGAATTATAAAAGCATGCTAAAAAGTCATGTGAGACAATACTTTGATGTATGAGCAGCATAGGTGATATTAACAACAAATATTCGCAAAATTTTTAACTGTTTTAATAGTTGTTGTTAACAAATTGTCACACAAACTATATTTACCTCTTAAGTGAATTAAATGACTGTAAAAAACTGAATATATATTGAAATAAATAACATTACGATTTCAATGCATCCTGTTGACGTTGATTCAGTTGATTTAAGTTTTTCACTTTAGATAGCACCGCCTTGATGTTTGCACGTTTAGCCTTCTTTTCGTTCTGAACGGACGCTTCAAACGAGACAATAATTGTGATATCTTTTAAACAGCAATAAAGTGAAATATAACAACAACAAATGAATGAAAACTAAAAGAATGTTGTAATTTCGTTTTTAAAGACGGTTAAACAAGTGTCGAAAAAGGTCACAAAAACATCTGGATCAAGTACTTTTGGTCATATCGGACAAGTTTATTTAGACTAGATGATCCAGACAACACACTTCGGATCGGATAAATCGGACAAAGCTCTTCTCGGACAAGTTACTTTGACCAGATAGTTCGGATAAGATACTTTGGACCAGATGATTTGGACAAAATACTTTGGACAGATAGTACGTCTGACCAGGTGACTTGGACAGGATAGTTTGGACAAGATAATTCGGACCAAATACTTTGGACCAGATGATTCAGACAAGATAATTCATACCAGATAATTTCGATACAATACTTTGGAACAGAGAATTCGGACCATATACTTTGCTCAGATAAATATTATAGTAATACTTTTACGTGTAGCACACAGTAATAACAAATATTCGGTCAACTAAATTAAATATAAAATTCTTAAACTGTTAAAAGTCGGCGACAAACCCCGTAGAAGAGTTACTCTATGCAAACTAAATAACATGGAATTTATAAAATTGATCATATATTTACTGCAGTCAATAGTGTCTAGTGTTTTGCCAGTTTGAACTCTACCGACCTCAGTACCATCTGTCGGGTCTAAGCACTGGCACTTGTTGCCACGACAAGCTGCCAAGTATGTTTGAGATTCACTGCATTTGATCTGCCGACTATTTTCTGGAACGTTTCCATTCTATAAAAAAGAATAAAATATTGACTCATCTGGTGAAGTGAAAGTAAATTGCTATTGATAAGTATCTTAATAAAACACAAAATGGAATTTAAAATCAAAATACCAAATAATAATAATAGGCCAGGTTACTTGTAGAAAAAGCTAATCACTTTCAGTTTTCAAAGTTCAATCTGTTAAGATTTAATACTTTAAAAAGGTTACACAAGGCTAGAAATGTATAAAATGCAAAAGACTTTCAGGAACAAGTTAAACAATGTCTTTTCCATCTAAAATGATAAATATTAACAACAATAACAAAACAACAACAACAACAACATAGTTTTATTTTCATGCGAAGGAGGAACGTGCATAAAAAATACCATTGTTATCTCTAGCAATAGATGTTAAATCAAGAGAATAGCAATAGTGTTAAATCAAGAGAATGGCAATAGATGTGAAATCAAGAGAATAGCAATAGTGTTAAATCAAGAGAATAGCAAAAGATGGTAAATCAAGAGAAGAGCAATAGATGTTAAATCAAGAGAATAGCAATAGATGTTTAATCAAAAGAATAGCAATAGATGTTAAATCAAGAGAATAGCAATAGTGTTAAATCAACAGAATAGCAAAATATGGTAAATCAAGAGAATAGCAATAGTGTTAAATCAAGAGAATAACAATAGATGTTAAATCAAGAGAATAGCAATAGATATTAAATCAAGAGAATAGCAATAGTTTTAAATCAAGAGAATGGCAATAGTTTTAAATCAAGAGAATAGCAATAGTGTTAAATCAAGAGAATAGCAATAGATGTTAAATCAAGAGAATAGCAATAGTGTTAAATCAAGAGAATAGCAATAGATGGTAAATCAAGAGAATAGCAATAGTGTGAAATCAAGAGAATAGCAATAGATGGTAAATCAAGAGAATAGCAATAGATGTTAAGTCAAGAGAATAGCAATAGATGTTATGTCAAGAGAATAGCAATAGATTGTAAGTCAAAAGAATAGCAATAGATGTTAAATAATTTGCATCAAAGTAGCAAAATGCAAACACGGTAGTTTTTTTAACTTCCACACACAACAACACTAATTGTTTTTTAAGCCAAAATACAACAGATGAAAAAAGATGGTTCAAGTAATTAGCCAATGAGTAGCTTTATGGATACAATAAAAATACACAAAAACCAAAAAGCTTTTGAGAAATAAATATAAAAGCACTTCTGACGCACAATGGGCCTTTAAACACATTAAAAATCAACATAAACGTACATTTCGCAAAGCTTGTAATTTTTCCTCTAGCATAGCGTTGTGTTTCTCTTTTTCGCAATTTCCATGTACTGAAACGGAAAATAATTATAAACTTTTAGTTCAATACTAATAAATATATCATGTTTAATAGCCAGTTTTATGTAATAAAGTTGGTAAATTGTTCAATTTACTTAGATGACATATAGCACTTTCACCTTCTCAAAAGTATTATCAGATTATATTTTAAAAAAAACTAAATGTAAAAAAAACACCTTACATACGTACACTGCAGTTTAAGTACTGCTCTCCCATTTGCGATATATTCCACACCGCATTTATTTGCTTTGAAAAGGGAGTTTCTTTGAATTTGTTTTGAATAAACTTGTATTGATATAAATAATTGCAACACTTTCTGCTTCATGTCCTTATATCTATAAAAGGAAACAGCTTTGTATTATAAGAATAAATTCTAAACCAACTCACATGCACTGCAGTTTACTACTTTCCCGTTTGCGAAATATTCCTCCCTGCATGTACATTTATTTATGCGACAAACTGCCTTCGGAAATCCTTTGCATTTGTTAACACAAAGATTTTCCGTTTTACATGTCTGCTTTCCTTGCGAAGATGTACATCTTTTACCTGAAGAAAATACAACACCATCAAAACAAAATGCTAATATTAAACATTTATCATGCCGCCGATTTCACGGCTAAGTCGTAATTAGTTGACACAAAAACGAGTATATAATCAAGACAGGGAAAAATGCAAATAAATATCGAAAGATATAATACGGATCAGGTAAAGGTAGTTGGTAAGCAACAGAAGAAGAGACACCTGGTTGAATGTGACATTATAAAGATAAACATGTAGAAGATAGTGTGGTAGGCTTAACCACAATAAATAGACACATGTTTATAAATAGTTGCTGTATTAGTTAAAAAGACAAAATGGGAACCTTAAAAACTTCCTAAAAGGGCAAAACTTAAAATTCGGAAGGTTCGGTGTCCTCTTGCAGTGATCATGGAAGCTTTGTTGTAATACATGCCATTCCATGAAAAGCGGCGTAAGGTTTCATTGAGATATTAGGCAAAAGTATCTTCTGAAGTTTTCACCCTGTCAAAAGATATCCTAAGAATTATTTTTATTATTCAAAGTTTGAAAATATATGACATATTAACTTACATGATTTACAAACATTTTGGTCATCTACTTTTTCATCATTATTAGCACGTTGATTTTCTCTGTCAGCTCCTAATTCACAATTGTTACAAATGTCTCCATCGTTCGCACAGAAAACAGCTGCCTGATTCCCTTCGCATACTGAAAAAATATATTGTTTAATAATTATATTGTCAACTGCTTGAAAATGATTCAATTCTTCACTTAGATAATAAAACAAAATCACGTGTTGTTACTTTGGCTTTTAGTTTTTTTTATTTCCGTTGTACAATATATGTTTAAGAAACACTGTCACAGTTTTTATTTAACATTCCTACTAGACATCAAACAGATAAGCCGTGTCACGACAAAACCAACATAATGGGTTTGCGACCAGCATGGATCCAGACAAGCCTGCGCATCCGCGCAGTCTGATCAGGATCCATGCTGTTCCCTTACAAACCCTATTACAAGTAGAGAAACTGATAGCGAACAGCATGGATCCTGACCAGACTGCGCGGATGCGCAGGCTGGTCTGGATCCATGCTGGTCGCAAACCCACTATGTTGGTTTTGTCGTGACACGGCTCATTTATCATCTTCAGTGGATTATATACACCTGTTAATTGAAGCATAAGTAGCAGCGAGTTTTTATTTATGTTCCTCAATGAATCGTTATAGTTTATTGTAAATACTTGATTTCGAAAATAATTGTTTTTCCTAAGCAGAATCACACATACCAATTTAGGAATCTGTATCAAAGCGTATGTAATAAATCAAACGTTACAAAATCTTAAGTAAGATGTACCAAAAAAAAAGGAAAGAACAATAATTGATGTTTTTGTTACTTACCTATCTGTTTAGTTCTGTTAGGTTTGACATTGTTCCCGTCTGTGAAAAGAAAAACAAACAAAGGTACTGTAGTTGATTTTCAGTTAGAAGGGGGAAGAGATAAGTATTATTCATCAAATGATAACAATTCAATATCTAATAACCAAACAAATCACATTAAATCTATAGTGAATAACTTGGAAAAAACACAGTTTTGTTTTCTGTTAAACATAAGACATACCCTTTTTGCAGGTTAGGTTTTGCCCATGTGCTTCAGAATTCGAGATTGTATCGCCAGTTGTTGGATTAACACATTTGCAAATTTCACCATGGCACTGTTTAGCATGAAAGTTACCATCAGCGTCACATATAGGTTCAAACTTGGCAGGAACGTTATCAGGATCTGCATTAAAAAAGTAAAATTGTTTAAGTACCGAAATGCTTATTTTGTGCATAACGCTTAGCCATAATCATGACCACTGCAAATAAATCAGTAGGAATGTACATGGACTTCTGTGTAATATTGATTTCACTAAACTGAACAAAATCTTGAAATTTTGATAAAACCCTTATCTTCAAGTTCAATTTGCTGCCGGAAGAGTTAACTTTTCAAACCAATTATAACAAGCATCTATTAAAAATAGCCATATGATTAAAAAAAGAAAAGAAAAATTCAGACTCATTCAAGTGTACTTTTGTTATGTCAGACCTTAGTGATGGTAAGATGTAATATAACTAGATAACATAAAGAAATGTAACATAAAGCATAAGTGTAAAGAAACTCATATATCAAGTCGCGTGGAATAAAATAAGTTAATAACAGTGAAAAATGGTTGACACATACCCACGCACACTGCATTACCGTCTACAACTCTGCACTGTTTCCCAGATCCGCACCTACTCCTAGCAGCCTGCGAAAAATAATTAATTTGTCAAATTCAGGCATTTCAATTTGTAGACAACCGGAATAACATAACATCTGACTACTTCTTATTTTATTTTAAGAAAATCAGGAGAAAAGCATCGAGAACAAAAATAAAAAGACGGAAATTACAGACTCAGTTTTGATAATATTCATTACTGATAATGACAGGTGCAACATCTCGCACGCCCTCTAGCACCGGCTTAGCACAAAAGTCATAAAAGGTACGTGTGTGTGTGCGTGCGTGCGTGATTTGTGTGCGTGCACGCGTGTGTGTGTGTGTGACTGCGTGCGTGCGCGCGTTTGTGTCTGTGTGTGTGCATTTAAGTATTCAAGTTCTAAGACTGGTGTTACAAATTATAATCAAAGTTCACAAAGCAAATGTGTTACAATTACTAATACTCAAACATTGTAGTTCCTTACATTATAATGTAACAGTCTTTTCAGTACATATCGTTCCATATGAAATAAGTTAATTTAATATTTAAGTAAAACACGGACTGGGTCGCCCAATATCAGTACGTCCAAACAGTATGACAACGGGGTTGATATGTTTACATGTGTCCGTGTGTCAAAAGCACTTGATCATCATATTTTCAATCATATTTGGATGAACAGGGGATAAGCATATAACTTAATGATAAGTATAACAGAAATCTTATTAAGGGCTTTAATGTTGCCTTCTGTATGATCCAAACGTTGACATTGCATAGGCTACTTAAGCAAAAGATTTCAATAGTATATAACTAAAAACAACTCACCGCGCATTTCGACAATGCAGAAGTCATCACACCTACAATGAAACAAATTTGAGCCGTGTCACGACAAAACCAATATAGTGAGTTTGCGACCAGCATGGATCCAGACCAACCTGCGCATCCGCGCAGTCTGATCAGGATCCATGCTGTTCGCTATCAGTTTCAGTAAAAAAGTAATTATGGGAAAAATGAGTAAAGCTTACAAATTACAAGAATAAAGTTTGTAAAAAAGACAATTATGAGTCAAATACTTGCTGAAAAGTCAGAAACAGTCGCCCGTGAATGGTCCTATATTGCAATATCTAAGTAACATTCAGCTCTTAGTAATGCTATTAACCTGTTCATTTAGTCTAAGATGTGTATTCTAGAATTTCATTTTCGTTACTCTCATAATTAACAGTTGAATATAAATCCATTAACGAACATTGCTAATGTACCGATATCATTTATAGTAGTACACTCACCACACGCGGTTTTGCACGTTTTATAATTGACAAAATTGTTTCCATTCTCGAAATCGCACCCGTAATCAAGAAATTGTTCACAGTCCATTGTGCGGGTGTTAAAAAAGTACCGCTTGGAAGGTGCACTACATCTCTTCTTACTCGGCTGTTTAAAACAGAATTCCTGAAGTCCACCTTCAAACAAAAAATACTTCATGTCAATGGGGTATAATCTTTTTTCGACAAAGTGCAGTGACCGAAAGCATGCATGCAACCACAATATTTTTATATTCTTAGAATATATGCATATCTTGTATCATAGTTTGGAGACCTTTCTGTTGAAAATGTGTCAGAGTTAAATCGTATACATATACAAGCACAGTGCGTTAACTGGAGTGCCTGTATTAGTTACCCGCACTGCAGAGCATGCCCATTGATTGGTTCATTTTGTCTGGGGTTTATAAATTGTGACGACCGGGAAAGGGAAAGCGATTGAAATATCATATTCAGATGCTCGTTCATTGGTTCCTTTTTTCTGGGGTTTCATATTGTGATATTTTATTTTTGTGATATCAGGGAACGTGTTTTTATTTTTGACTATGATGCAAAAGAGAAAGAACATCAAAACACTCAGAAATCTGATTTATAATCGGGGGTAGCCCCCTCGTGCAAAGCAGATAGCCTCGTGTTTCGATGCTCTTTCTATTACTAATTTTACATCAAAGATACTTAATACAGAAAACAAGAATTTTGTTTTACTTTTTATTAACTTGAGCAAATTATGCACTTCACTGGTGTATATCATATACTATTGATATATACTCCTCACATTAATTTTAATCAAAACATGCAGCAAAAACCGATTGGGTATCTCACTGTATTTCTGACTCGTGGTAGGTTTACCAGTAAATTTAAATACCTTCAGTGTCAAACAATGTGTTAAAATATATATTGTTACGGGCTATTATTACCAATCAGTGTGTATGTTAAGGATACCGATTAATTAGGTGATAATTATGATTGACTCATTCATTCATTTGATTAGTGACCACCTGCAATTAATTAGAAGCTTATGATATTAAGTAAACACGTTTTTGTTTCATATTTTTTTAATATAACTTTACAAACAAAATGCATCTAAGGAAACACATTTTTCTAGATCTATATTAATTTTATCGAATCTGCAAGACAAATAAATAAAAAAAAATTCTAAATGTACTTTATTTCGGCAGAAGTATAATTATATAATAAAAACATATTTCTCATTATTCATTTACCTTAACAACATATGCAAAGCAAAGTTAATACGTTATATATATATTTTTGTAAAGTGGGCCGAGTTGACCCGTGCCGAGTTGACCCGTGCCGAGTTGGTATAGGGCCGAGTTGACTCTTTTCCGATCAAACTGGCATGAGTGGTTCAGGCGAAACATTAAAGTTCACAATTTGCTGAAAGGTTATCCCAAAGGTAGATATAATGTTCATAGTTTATAAAACTTTAAAGGTTTACACATCGATTAAAAGAAGCTCATACATATGTCAACAAAGAATTAACAAAAATATCTTGTAAAACTGCTCAAACGTACTATTATTTCCTTCGTTTAAGGCTCCGCAGTTTAGACCCTCTAAACTTGTGACTTTCGGTCCGTTTAGAATCGGCATGCCAGTTTGTGTGTTGACGGAATAGCAACGCTTTTCGTCTCCCATACCACGGATGCATTGCTCCTAAAACATAAAAAAACGAAAATTAAACATGCATGCATGTTTGTGTTATAACAACATGGGTCATGTTACATTGAAAACTTACACTCGCATATATGATAATCAATTGATAGAGAAGAATTTCAATTGCATGTATTCAATTTCACCTAACTGAATCACACACTTTTGAAACAAAACAAAAATAATTTTATTTATCAAAATTTATAAAAGGGGGTGATGGTCCATCGGACAGTATTATATAGCAAAAACTGCAGCCTCGGTTTGACTGAGTTTGTTTATAGCATATACTAGTTATATAATTCATGTAGTAAGTGTATTTACTTAAACTAAAGAACAGAACATCACATTAATTTCGTTTGACAATCTGTAACAATTTATGTCTACATCAATCAATAAGCAAGATATAATACATAATCAAACTTCATTTTTAGAATTCATAAAACAAATGTTAAGTCCGTTTACTGAAACTTAATGATGGTAAATAAGTAATTATTAATTTGAAATAAGCTTACGGGTTTGAATTGTCCTGTTGCCGTGCAAAGGTCTTCGTAATTAACTGGCTCAGCAGGCATTCCAATGTGACTCATCAGATACATCAACATATGCTTGAATGGATTAGTTTCCATATCGTCTTCTGTTAAAAAAACGTTCTTCATGAATGGTATATGTACTCTCACAAAAAACATATAAAGAGTATTAAATTTGAGTTTCATAGGCACTTTGTTATTTTACCTATTTCACAATCTTTACAGGGGCGTCCGTGGCCGAGTGGTTAAGGTCGTTTACTTCAAACCACTTGCCCCTCACCGCTGTGGGTTCGAATCCCGACAGGGACTTTGGATTTTTTCATGTGAGGAAGCTATCCAGCTAGCTTACGGAACGTCGGTGGTTCTACTCAGGTGCCCGTTCGTGCCTGAAATAATGCACGGAAGGGCACCTGAGGTCTTCCTCCACCAGTAAAGCTGGAATGTCGCGATATGACCTATACTGTGCCGATGTGACGTAAAACCCAAAACAAAACAAAAACAATCTTTACAGCAGTTTAGTCTTATTTTTTTCTATGGATATTCTCGTTTGTCTTTCCTTAAAATTCATAAGCAGACATGAATTAAACAGTCAACAAAAATCATTATTTGTATGATATAGAAGTAAAGTGTATATTTTCATCGGCTAAGACTTTTTTATTTTAGTTCTATCGATTCATTTAATCAACCCCACTCATTAATCATCATAAATCTTTCTTCAGCTGATGCCTAAACCATAACCCCCTGAAACTAAACGTTACTACCTTCTGCAACCAGCATGGAAATCGAATAGAGAGAAATCAAGAATCACTAAAGAAGGACCAAAATGACAAAATTGAAAATGTTGCAGATTGTCTCAGATTGATTTGTAATGTTCATTGACGGATCATGGAAATTTTAAGCTACAGTCCACGTGCCCTAGCAACGGTTGAAACAGATTCAACAGATAGCAAGAAATGGTAACATTTGAATTTAGAAAATCCGCAGATGTGTCCTGAACAGCCTATTCATCCACACCGTTTGACAAGGCTTTGAATTGTTGGCTGACTAGATTAAAATATATCATCTTGATAACCCAAAATAGATAATGGACAGTTACCAAAAAATGTAAACTGGACAAGTCCATTTAAGAAATTCGGCAGATTTAAGGTTAAAACTTGACAAATAACAAACCGTCATCAGATGTGTCTGCGTCCTTATAAATAGATTCTGCAAGAGCCTTCATCACTGCCTTCTGGACAAAACATGGGGTTGCTAGGAAAAAGGTAAATAAAATAATACAATTGTACAAGAGTATTGATTCTTTATAATTCTTAAAGCTTAACTATTCCTTACATATTTATAATATTATTATATTATCAGGCAAACAAAATCGATGTTTAAAAGGCACATCATTATTACCTTTATTGATAGCATACCAGAATGCAAGTGTTAAGAAAGAAAATATTATTTAATTCGAAATAAAATGAACCCCTAAAATGTTTTAAAGTGGGTAGGTCTACAGTTGGTACATTTTCTATCATTTTTTTTCAAATATTGATTAAAATAATAGAAATGAAACATTTGAAATTTCGTAAAAAAACAACATAACCAGTTGATTGAAGAAAAGATGTTGATACAGTTCTAAATGATTTAGATTGAAAATGTAAATGATGAGTAATGATATTTTGTCCTAGAACATCTTATTATCTGCTATGAAAATATATGTTACACAGAATCATGTATCTCACACTTGCCAACAACATCCGTATACTTTTTCATGGCTTATTGTTATGTCTGATACTAAATACTTTCAACGTAATTATTCAAGGATTTAACTCAATACAGGATTGGAGCAGTACCTCTAGACGCTTGCAGAAATCATGATCACAAAATAGACAAATATCGTTTTTTTCGCCGATTTTTACATTTTTCATTCATTATCATACATAAATCAGTGTGAAAAGATAAATTAGACCTATTTAAGTTCATTCCGTTGGGTAAAAAGGCAAGATTTTAGCATTTTATGATTCAAGCGCCTTGCCCAGTAATATACCGGAATACGTATTTAGTGTGGTGCTCCAATCCTTTTTTTTAGTCTCACTCATTATTCAATGTATCACAGACCTTCCATTATAAATCACTTTACGTTAAACGAGTGAAATATCGCATCAAAACCCACAAGAGCTTACTCTATACTATCCGTTCTATATGACACATAGTTGATATCTACGTAACATTGAGCCTATGCTTACAAAACTTCGATTCTTGTCACATAATTCAACATTACGAATCCTATAGCAATCTCGAAAAACAATAATGATCCTGTCAAAAATTAGCAACTGCTTCCTTTATTATTGAACAGAAACCATGAGCAATTTCGATGCACAACATATGATAAGAGATGAGCAAAACTACTTCTTCTCGAGAAAGATTATTTTTACATAAATATTGTAATAATATTACGTCAACATGAAGTGCACAAGATTCACTGTTTTTCAGGTATATGCTTAAAAACGACAAAACAAAATTTACACAATTAAGCATACGTATTAAGATTTGTTCTCAGAGCCAAATGATATGTTTCGAAATATAGTATAGTGATTCTTACAGTGGCAGAGATGGTTAACATTCTCAGTCCCTCTTTTGAATACTGCACTGCACCTTTCGCAAGTATTAATACTGGGGAAAAGACAAAAGAAAACCTGTCAATGTAAACTATACAAATTTTGTTAATTGCTTATCTAAATAATTATGTTCTTTTCAACATATCACGTACAATATCTGTGTGATAATAATACAATATACAAAACATACGTCATGCCTTTTTGTATGTCCGAAACATCTTAAAGTTATTATTATCTGTGTTTGCATGCAATGTCCGAGATCTAACATTATAGATTTTTTATTCTAACTACTAACTACTATTTGTAAGTCTGTTTATGTATTTATTGTAATGACAAAAAAAAAATAAAAAAAGAATAAAAATAACAACCTTGTAAAAGGTAGAAATTGGATAAATAGCATGATTTAACAAAACACTGTACTTTTCATTCCATCCGAAGTGTCCATCCGAAGTCGAGAAGTCGAGATATTTATCGATTCATTAGAACCCTGTGTCAAATTGTTTTATTCTTGAAAATTGAGCCGTGTCATGACAAAACCAACATAATGGGTTTGCGACCAGCATGGATCCAGACCAGCCTGCGCTTCCGCGCAGTCTGATCAGGATCCATGCTGTTCGCTATCAGTGTCTCTACTTGTTATAGGGTTGGTAAGCGAACAGCATGGATCATGATCAGACTGCGCGGATGCGCAGGCTGGTCTGGATCCATGCTGGTCGCAACTCCATTATGTTGGTTTTGTCATGACGCGGCTCAAATGATTCTATTTCAGAAATCACTCTGGAAAAAATACTTATCTCTAGTAACTCCGCAAAAATTATCGATTTCCTTCATCATGCATATAAAATACTTACCTACATGTTGCATCAGGTACACCCGGACATTTAGTGACGTCACAAGGATTTGCAACACATGCTGCTTGTATTTCACAGTTTGCTACAACAAAATATAGTAAAGCATAACTCAGTAGTCAAAACTTAGACGTCAGATAATATATTTATATTACTCTTGCGAGGTCAATTTTGTCTTCTTTTTGGATAAACTATTTTTTGTTTTCTTTGCTGAATTAATCAAGCTACCCACCAACGATTACGGACATATCAAGCTACCTTTTGTGATAAAACCCAATTATCAAATTTTTTTAATATCAAATTTAATAGTGCAAAAAGTCAAAAGATTAAAGCCTGGACATAATTTCGGATTCAAATACTTGTATAATTCTTGACTAGTGGCAACAAATACAAAAAAACAAACGATTCACTTTTTGCTCTACACGCCAAACGCTATGAACGGCAAAATAACAGCTGGAAACTTACTTGGTACATAATCCCTGCAGAAAGGTCCAAAAAATCCGGTCTTACATTGACAGACTTTCCCATCCCGAATGTTTCCAACGCATGTGCCGCCATTCGCGCAGGTTATTCCCGCCGTTGCAAGCAGTTTACAGAAATGTGCTTCATAAATTTCTTTTTCTGTCAGATTCGAAAAACATGTTAATATAAAGCTCCGATATTAAATAAAACGTTAAACACATCGTCGTCATGGTACTAGATTTTCAATGCACCTTTATTTATTTATTTCTGTTTTAAATAAAAATATGTTTCATTAAATGTGAGTTTCGATCTCTGATTTCGCATTACATTTCAAAATTTTATTTGTTCTTTTTTCAATTTATTACAAATTAATGTACTAGCTTTCCAAGTATGATTTTTTTATTATTGGTATTCACATGCAATACATATAAAAACTTAGAATTATATAAACGATGCAAAAAAACGATCATCATTTTCACGGCAATTTAAAGTCAAGGAATATTAGGTTTCCTTTGCTTTGATGTAATCGGATACATACCTACACCTGGTTTTGCCAATTGTGTACCAGGAACACAGCAAACACTAACTTTTTCGGGGTTTGTCAAGGCGACAGTACACGTGCCTCCTTTCACACAGCCAGTTACCTCAGCACTTGGATCACACTCGGATACCATATATGAACCAAACGCACATGGGGACTCTTCTTGTTTCACTGAAATGTATATATAAACAGCGGTAAAAAACAAATCTGTAAATGATTTCTTTATGTGCTTCAATATGAATGTAAGCATATAAATATTCAGCCAGAAAATAATTATATCTATATCAATCGACGTCCGGAATAAACGTGCATGTACATCTATGTAAACATTTGCAAAATGTAACAATAAACTACGGTACTGTGTTCTGTATTTGGCAGTGTATTTTGATTTTAGATTTGGATGCATCTGGTTCTCTATAATATCAAAATGACATTACTGTTGACACGGTGGTTTGATGTTCAGTCTAACAGACTATATTAGGGTCATATTGCAACTTGCAAGCATAACTGCTGAAGGAAAACAATAGTTGCCACTCCTTGCAATATATCCACAACAGGCATAAACTTTATTTAGTTGTAGCGGCCTTTTTTATGTTTTTAACTTAAAGGAATCACTTCAAAAGTAAAGCAATAAAAATGTGCACTGCTCACACACTATAAAAGGCAAATTTAAAATAAAAAATGTGATCATAAATCTAATTTAATGATAACTGACAAGTGGTTGGTTCCAGATATTATAAATGATTCACAAGTTTGGTATTTTCAAAATCGATCAAAGTGTCTGTCAAATGCAGGCTTTCGATAAACACTTTCATTTTTTTCCTAACTGCTAAAATACGCTGCGGGATATATATTAATAATTTGTAAATATGAATATTTAATGCTTACCCAATGGATCCGAGCATGTCATATGTCCACATTTGCTATTTGCACAACATTTGGTATCTATACCAGCGCAGTCACTGTCGTCCATACATTTGTAACTGTCACACATAGCCTCGTCGAAATTTAATCCTGAAATCGCCGGACATATTCCTATTTTCGGAACATTTACGCGCTCAAGTTCTAAAAGAAAACAAAATAATATGTGTATAATTTACAATACCTATACATTGAAGAACTTTAAAATAGCAAGAGACAATATGATATAAATGGATGAAAGTCATTGGGGCTTGTAAAATCGCCATCCATTAAATGCTTCATAACGCCTTCAGGAGGGAGTATAACTAGTTTTATATTGTAAATAAATTTGAAGGTGCTACACTCTACAGTTACAGATACCTTCAACAAACCTTTAACCGTCTCAAGATCCCCTCCTTATAGGAATTATTGTCCGATGAAATGAATATCATCCACAATTTGTCAGCAAAAATGATTCGTGCACAACTAGCGATATCAAACTTGACAACTGCTTTGATAATTGGATGATAAATATTAATCAACCCCATATAATACTTCAGGGGCTATTCTACTGACCTTTACATTTAATATACCAACTATGAATCCAAATGATAAACCCATTCAAAAGTAAATGTATGGACATCATAATGTCAGATACAGTTTAACGACAAAGGGTTCATAAATTAACAGACAAATACACAAATAAATATGTAACATGTACTGCATATATTTATATACTTGCTAAAGTTTTGGAAAGTTACTAAATTATTAAAATGGAAAAAACATGTCTAAAACCCAATATATACGACATCATAAGACACTGCAAACGTATTGATATATTGCAAAAATACAATTTGAAGCATATAAATCTTGCACAAAATTTTTTCGACTGTATTTTAGTTTTGTCTAATTTTTGTCTTTTTTTTTCGGAATAAATATATATGTATTCCATTATTATCCAATCACTATGGTCACAGTGGTTGTATCCAAAATAATATTAGGAATTCATTCATTCAATCTGTCTTATACTATAGATTCTCGATATGTATAGAATATTATTCAAGATTATGGAAAACAATATGATAATTATATACCTTTCTTTGAGATACATTTCATGCCAGCTCCATAGCTACAACAGACTTCACCCATTTCTGTATCACAGCCCTCGTTTTTTTCAGTTTTACACTCAGCAGTTGCACTGAAGGGAATGTCGTCCATCGTCTTTGGACATGCTAATACAGGTTCTGAAAATATCAACCTTCACAAGTTTAGTTATTATAAAAATTTAAATGTGATAATTTAAGTTTCTGTTGTAGATATGATTCATCTATTTCATGAAAAATGATTTCTTGCACTATATTATTTTCTTAACAGATAAAAAAACTTCTCATCTCTTCACTACTTTATGCAAATATTACTCGTTTGAAAAATCCAAATATGTCACTATTTAAAACTTGATTAAAATGATTTCATGATTGATTCAGTGACTATACACGTATATTAATAGCTTTAATGTTCGGTAAAATATGCAATAAAACCTATAATAGAATGTACGAAAAGAAAGTAAAGCAATGACATTGTATGCTATTAAAAGAAGATAATGGAAAGTAAAATCTAAAAATAAACGGAACGAAAATTTGACGCAAGGGGCCTAGCGGTACACCAACCAGGACAAATCATACGGTCAAAAGCGGACTGAATGTCATAAAAAGTTATTAAAAAAGAAATCAGAAAAACCTGAAAAATGAAAATTCATTAAAAGACCTGAAAAAGGATAAGGATGTGTAGAAAGGGGCCAGAAGGACGGTGAAAATTGAGTTGTAGAAGTTAGCGATGTAAAATTGGATCGAAATCATTGAAAATGAAAATCTACTTAAAGCATGTTACTTTATATTAGAAGGAAAACAAAACAACTTTAAAAGCAACTATACAAGGTTTTCAAATTGGAGCACGGTAGTAAAATGAAAATATCCTTTTACAATAATGTTATGATTTGAAAGAATACAGATAATAAAATGAATAAAGTATTAATTTAATAGTTATAATATATGAGCCGCGCCATGACAAAACCAATATAATGAGTTTGCGACCAGCATGGATCCAGACCAGCCTGCGCATCCGCGCAGTCTGATCAAGATCCATGCTGTTCGCTATCAGTTTGTCTACTTGTTTTAGGGTTTGTAAATCCTGATCAGACTGCGCGAATGCGCAGGCTGGTCTGGATCCATGCTGGTCGCAAACTCATTATGTTGGTTTTGTCGTGACGCAGCTCATATATACATTGCACAGTTATTTACCTGGTTCTTTGCACGGTCCATGCTTAACTATTATATACAGCTTATCCTCCGAACATACCCGTTGATTCATCAAGCATATATTTGTAAAAGTTAAAGGTTTTGCGTTATTGCCTTGTGGATGGGCACAGATTGGTCTGTAATCATTGGTGCTGCATGCATCCGCACATTTACATACGCCATCCATGCATGCCTTGTAGAAAGGGCATTGCTCAGTTGTACCACATTTACCTAAAAATATGATGCAGAGTAACATAATAAAAAGTTTTCAAATTGATATTTAAATTGAATTGTACATATAAAATGTTGTTTTGAAAAGTCTTTTTTTAAAAAACTCAGTGCCTTGTAAAATGTAACATAATGGATCAAATTCCACAGACGGTCTTAATGATCTTAACACATAATTTTGAGAAGTATTATTTTTTAGTCTTAATTATCTTAACACATAATTTTGAGAAGTATTATTTTTTAACAATCACAAGGCGCGGAAAACCACCTCATCAGATGTAATAAAATCAATCTGGGCAAATGGCTTTGGTTTGTTTAGTAAAACATCATGAATCTGTAAAATTGTTGTAAGACTGTTGTTAATTAATACGTGTCAGGCTTAACAGTGCTGTCAAATATCAGAATGGTTGGTGTTAACAAAAGACCGCTACATTGTCGTGCAGTAATCAGATGTGTCCAAATGTTTGTGAACGAAAGAAAAATGACAACACAATGGAGATAAAACGAAAAAAAATATATATCCGTAGGTTACATTTGAATAACAACAGTGTTTTTATCTAGGTGGTGTAGAAGTATCAAAGCTCTTCTTCTGTGTTTTCTTTTTTCATAATAACATTAACAATGACCATGTTTTAAATAGAATACAATCGATGAGGACACATATTAATTACAAACAATTTCAAGCGTAATAATTTTGAAAAAAAGTTAAGTATATGGCTGTGAAGTAATTTACAGAGTACTTCATTATAAACAAATTGAAATTGACAGGAATTGCAATGAAAACATTATGAAAACTGACATGCACGACAATGGAAAGATAAGAACAAGTATAAATGAGCCGCGCCATGACAAATCCAACATAATGGGCTTGCGACCAGCATGGATCCAGACCAGCCTGCGCATCCACGCAGTCTGATCAGGATCCATACTGTTCGCTTACAAACCCTATAACAAGTAGAGTAACTGACAGCGAACAGCATGAATCCTGATCAGACTGCGCGCATGCGCAGGCTGGTCTGGATCCATGCTGGTCGCAAACCCATTATGTTGGTTTTGTCATGGCGCGGGTCAAATTGAATTACTCAACACGTTGACACATTTCAAACTTACGAGAGCATGGTCCTGGGGATAGCACTTGTAACTTTCTTCCATTAAGCATTGCTTCTTTTAACAGGCATCCATTTCCGTAAGTTTTCTGTACGGGTGTGTTATCTGTTGTGTCATACACACATATTGGCATGTACTCTCTTGTACATTGCAGTCTGCATGTTCCAGATGAGTCTGTGAGTAATAAACAAAATGAAGTAAGACAAGATGTCACTTAATGTTAATTTTATAGTAATAGCTATTACTGGGCGTATGATTTTAGAAAATTAAAAAAAAATCTCCCTTTTACAAAAGTAATCACTAAGATATTGAATCGCTATTAATATTAAGTTTCAATTTAATTTTGAGTATTTTTTCCTGTTTTTCCTCATATATCTATACATTTTAGCCGCCCAGTGTTGATCTATGTAACGTGCTTTAGATTGTATGTTTTTATAGGGTTTTTGGGTAAAATATAACATATTAATTTAGTAGGTAGACGTATATATTATCATGAACAGGTTCAATCAAACCCAGTCTGCAACATTTCTAATTTTGCCGTGTTTGGCTTTCTCAAGAGACTCTTACTTCCTCTATTTTATGAAGGTAATAGGTAATATTAAGAAGAATCAGTATGTAATGGAAATCTGCTATGTTAATATTCTTAACATATCCTTTCAGCATAAGATATCATAAACCATATTTTTGTTTCATTAAAAACAAAACGAATAAAATAACAAAAGACTTAATGACCATGTCAATATTTAAACAAAATGGACAAATAATAAATTATAAACAAATATTTATGTATAATTTTATAAAAAAAGTAAGAGATACCTGTAAATAAATGGTATCGTGAAGAAAGATATAAAACAAAAAATAATTGCACATTATTCCTACCGTCTGGACTGCATTTGCCATCCTTTAGTATCACAAATCGTTCCTTCATTTTACAGGCTGCCATGTTCATAACACATTCATTACTGTAGGTACACATAGCGCGGGACTTGGCACCTTTGGCACACACAGGGTTAAAGTCCGTGGTACAAAATTCTGGACACTTGCAGACATTATTCTCGCAAATTTCATACTTTTCACAATATTCTGTTTCACCACATTCTGTTAATAACAAGGTCTTTGAGTCAGTGTACATATAACTGTGAGTAAGGATATATGTATCTAGATTATTGATCAATCGCTCATTTAGGTAATATACCAATAAAGAACATTTATCAGCACGACAATTAGATTATAATACGAATAATTCATGTTCAACAAGCAGATGAAAATTAACATTATTGACCTACTTACTTTATTTTTTATATTCATTGGAAAGCAATCTTATAATGGAATATTCAAGTATTGAGAAAAATTTCAAACCCTTCTTCGGCACAAAAAAGAGCAACAAAAAACATATCAGTTAGTTTAATAAGGTTATAAAATTGGATAACAAAACAAAATAATAATAATACTTGTCTTGCAAGGTCCATCAAAAGCTTTTGTTATATTCTGCATTACTTGGCATGATTTTCTTTTCATATGACACAAACTCGGGTAAGTCTGACCATCTGTTCCACAAACCTTTTACAAAAATGTCATTATATTGATAATTGATACATCTTGACAATGAAACTCTTTCTTACGACACATCAATTTTCAAAGACTTTAAAATTAGTTATATAACATTGTTGCAAGATTAAAGATCCTGTAACACATTATTATTATGGTTTTATATACAAATTATGATGCTCAAATTAAGATTTATCGATATTGTAAGTTTCAAAAAACATTATTTATAAAGATATTACCGAATTTAATATTTCATGTAAATAAAGGGAGGTAATTAGAATTTAGTTTTCTATAAATTCTAAGTCAATTTTACCAATAAGAAATGAATGCATATAATTTAATGATTACCTTAAATATGTACAAATATTTGCAATACATATTTTACATATTCTTCCATGTTTGAAAATTGACAAATTTGCATAATTACATACATAATATTATATAATTCAATGAAGAGTGGTATGCAATCTCAATTACAAAACATACAGGATCTTTAACACAAAAAGTCAACATCATTTTGTATTCTGTAAATCTGTAAAATGTACGATAAGTTATCCTTAAATCATAATTTACCACTTAAATGCTTATTTAATAGATAAGCACTCACAACTTTACAAGAAAGCTTTTTATCCATGGATATGTTTAAATCTATAGTAAATAAAGTTTTATGGAAATTCATTATTTGACTCAAATTGGGAAGATTGAAATTTATTCACGCAAAGTCAGAAGTAAAAGAAAGTAATAAACAACAGTGTAATCATTTATATTCAAGATCTGTGTGAATAGTCAAAAATACATGTTAAGCCAGACATAAGCATTTTTATGTGGCGGACAGAATCATTTTTGGGGAGGCTATGCCGACCCAATGTTAATAACTGTCTGTCAAATCTTACTGCCGCGGTAATCAGGTCAAAAAATAGTACCTTGATTTTTTCTAAGCTGACTCATCACTCATCACAGACATTTACAATATGAAAATATTTTCATTCTTTAATTTCATATCTGCAATTTGTAAAGATAATAATTCTCTGAAAAATTCTTGATTTTTGTTTAAATCACTACTCCGTGACGTCATACTGCCACGGTAATCAGGTCAAAAAATAGTACCTTGATTTTTTCTAAGCTGACTCATCACTCATCACAGACATTTACAATATGAAAATATTTTCATTCTTTAATTTCATATCTGCAATTTGTAAAGATAATAATTCTCTGAAAAATTCTTGATTTTTGTTTAAATCACTACTCCGTGACGTCATACTGCCGCGGTAATCAGGTTTAGGCATATTACGTACGTCTGTATTAAATAGTTCTGGTATGAAAACCCTTCAAAATAATAACTTTATCCATATTTTTTTTAACAAAAAGCATAAATGAAAATTTATAAGTAAATGCTTTAATTCAGTGGCAAATATTCTTTATTATTTTTTGATAACAAATTTTCCAATTACTACGCAGCGACCAACTGTTTATGACGGGTCATTAACTAGAAACGTTGTGCACAACTACGTATTCTCAATATCATGCATGTGCTTTTGTTGTTATAAACTATTAATAGTCCTTAATATTTTTTTAAAGACAAATAATTGTAAACTGTCGCTTACATCAGAGACATGTTATAGTATATAGATAACTAAGGAAAATAGTATATGTTATAGTATATAGATAACTAAGGAAAACTAACTTATTTGTACACCCCAGGAGGCTGTACGCGGAAAACGCTCATAAACCGCTAAATCATATAGCTGTTTAGTAAATATTTTGCATACATTTAACTAAAAATTCACTGATGGTGATGAACATATAGTTTTAAAACATTTTATTCTTTAACCATTATCGCCGAAAAAAAACTATTTAACTACAAAACCCCTAAAGGACCTCCGACAAAATCCCAGCACAATATTACAGTTTACATTAGCAAAATAAAAAAAAGCAATACTTATATTTTCATCTTACATAATTCATTAATCAAACTTTTAACATAAAAGTATCTTTGGTAATTGACAGATCCCTACTCTGATCTTTTATTTGTATAGGAATAAATTTAAACATGTGCTCTTTTGTTTAGGAATATTTTGTAGTGAAAGTCTTATATATTCACTAATCTCATAATTAGAATTAGACAGGTCAGGAATTTATACAACAGTTGTTTAGTTAACTATGCTCATTTTAATCCCAATAGAAACATTCAAATATTTGTGGTAAAAAACATGACCAAAGTACCTAGTAGTCGTTTACCCGGTGGTGATCCCATTAAACTGATTATAGATTCGAATTGATTAGAAAACACAAATTAGAAACATGTGTTTCCGTACAACAAAATCGGAAGTAAAGTGAACAGTTAATTGACAGAAATATGTGGTCAAATATGTTTTAACAAGGAAATAAGTATTTCAGAGAAAGACGCAAAGATCAGTATGACCCCGTATTGTGTAATTAGAAAGTTTATTCAATTCTAGGGCATACATCATAATTTGATAGTCCATTTGTAATAAAATTCAAATTTTCAATACAGATTATGAGATACATAAAAAATATTAAAGAATAAGAAGCTTTAATTAAAAAACAAAAACAAAAAAAAAAACAAAAAAAACAACAAAAAAACGCATACATATACAAATTACTTACAGTCGAGCATCGGGAAGTCATTAACATATCTTACGAAACTTTAATTTGAAACCGATATTTGCTCGCGCTGAAGTGATAAATGTTTATTTGAAAAATAAAAAAAAAGAACTTTTATGGTTGTGTTCTAAAAATAATGGGCGGCATAAGAGGAATTTCTTATTCATTTTACAACACTTGAAAAATTACTACAGAAAATGTGATGTTGTTTTGTTTTCAACAAAAAGTGTGTGTGTTTTAAGTTTATGTATACTCGGCGCCGGAATAACATATGTCCGAGATTATAGCATCTGGGACGTCTTTTTCAAGCAGATTCTTCCTGGAAGCCCATTCTTCGTTCTTTGGTGGTAAAGGAGACGACAATACCGTCAAGGCATCAACTTTCTGACTGACGACAACAAAAACGGCATCTATTAGCGCCAAACCTCCAGAGTAAGTCACCACAGGTCAACCAATCACCTCTGGTACTTATGATGACTTGACTATGACCTTCCGTGTGCCTTCTCCGCGACGTGCACGCCTCTGGAGGTATTTGGAGTAGTTTCAACAAAAACTTCCAAAACACGCCATTTATAACACCATTCATAGCACTGACGGCTTCGATGTTCTCATCTATTTGCGGGAAATGGTCGACAGGGAAAACCCTACGTAATAACCGCACACCCTGTTAACAAACAGATTTTCCGCAGTATATATTTCAAGCTAGTGAGGTTTAAAAATACACGTAGAATCTATCGATTAACTACCATAAGTTGGTTGAGTGTTGAGTGTTGGCGGTAAAAAAAGAAGATATAACTTCCTGATCAATTTTCACTTAGGTTGATTCAGTTTTGAATAAGCTTTGCAGAGATGTATTTTTCAAGAAATATTTAGCTTTAATATTATCCGACGCCGTCAGTAATGAAATGGGATTAATTTTCTGAAACGTGATTTTATTCGAGATTTGCTTCTGAAGAAGACAACCTTCTGTCCGTAGAGCATGAATGTTAATACTCATCACAAGACAGTATCTTATTGATCTCAATTATGGTACATCTAAACGTGTATAATTTTTATGTTCAATAAAAATGTTGCATCACGTGCAGTTGTTATTATCATTCAATAATATTAAAATGACATAAAATATTTATGATGAACAGTCCTAGAATATTTTGATAAGGAACCGTCAGTTGTAAAATGTTATTGTTATCTGATAATGAACAGTCGTCATACTTGCTGGTATGTCATTTATTATTGACAGTTTAGGTTTTTCAAAATTTGCATGATTAACAGTCCGAATGTAGACCTTAATTAAATGTTCTGGAATATTAACAAAATGAATAGTCAACCTCATTAACCATATATATGAATGGTTGAACACAACAGTAAGGATAAATAGCGCAATGTGCATATCTTTTTATTTTGGTAGCATATTTTAAGCAAAAAGAAAAGAAACTATAAGTCTGAAACATTCTCTCATAGCCTCCCCATCAGTACATTCAGTGCTTTGATTATTTCTTGCGGCCGTTAGCAGTATTTTAATGGCGGACATAATTAGTGTTATATGTGGCGGACATAACCAGTGTTATTTGTACAAGTTTAACAATTAGACAAACATTTCCATCAATGTATTGTGAACATACAGCACACTATTTTACCTGTGACAATGGTATATCTGTGCAGTCGTCGCATATGCACTGATCCCCGGAACAGCTTCCAAAAAGGGAGCATCTCAAGCCAGATGAACACGTTCCTGAAAGATTGTTATCAAGTTTGGCTAAGTTAACACTGATAAACATAACTTCCATGTGTATTGTTCGGCTTTGTGCCAGTTCGATATTGTGAGGAAGGCTGAATCTGTGATGAATGTTGTTGTTTAAAAGAACAATTAAACTTAAAAAAAATGGTTGACATAAAAAACAACAACGACAAAAAAAAAAACAAAAAAAAAACACACAAAACAATCGAAATTATTTTTATTTTATTTTTTTGAAATATAGGAAAGTTGAATGGCGATTATCATAATTATAGGTCTTAGCATGTCTATGGAATTTTCAGGCTACAGCGCAAAACAAAGATGTGCCATAAATTGATAACATGTATGACGAAACAAAAGTGCTTCTGTGACTTACTAAATTTCGACTACGTACTTTGATATAATAAACCCATGATAAATAACAAGCAATACGTACTGACAGGACTGGTACAGATCCTTCCTTTACCGTTAAAACAGCAGACACTCTCGCCTTCACAGTCCTCATCGCTGTCACAGTTACTAACTTCGTCCATTGACATTTCTAACATCTTTGGAATCGGACATACGGCATCATCGTACTTGTACATACGAGCTAGATATAGGATAATAACGTTTATATTTTTTGCCCAGCAATGGTGAAAATATCTGTTTAAAATCTGTAAAATCGTTGTATGTTCGATATTTAAAGTGCCATCTTATGTAATATGTATGGAATATATACCGACATCCGTGAGGATCATACAACACCTTGTTAGCAACTGTTGCATTTTCTGAATTGCCTTTACCTGTTTCAAAGCAGCAGGTGCAAGTGCCCTCACTTTGTTTTATTAAATTGCTAAATGAGCCGTGTCACGACAAAACCAACATAATGGGTTTGCGACCAGCATGGATCCAGACCAGCCTGCGCCTCCGCACAGTCTGATCAGGATTCATGCTGTTCGCTTACAAACCCTATAGCAAGTAGAGAAACTGATAGCGAGCAGCATGGATCCTGATCAAACTGCGCGGATGCGCAGGCTGGTCTGGATCCATGCTGGTCGCAAACCCACTATGTTGGTTTTGTCATGACGCGGCTCAAATGTTAATGCCCAAATGGGACATATTACTACCGGTAATGTGTACCAGTAAACAGGTACTTTTTGCAGTAAAATCAAGTCATGTTGACTGGGTACATTCTGTAGAAAAAGAAATGGCCACCATTGTTTTTTGTTGTTTTCTTTCGAATCAGTCTGTAATTTTTCGAATTTAACCTCTAAATTCTGAAACGCACCTTCGTATTAAATAAGATTTAAGTTGCAACAGGAAGAAATGAACATTCCAAAATGGGTATATAATAATTTTGATTAAAAAGGACATATTTTTGTATCGAATATATACATGTATGTATTTATGAAACTGTTAATTTATATTGTTGCGTTCCATTCCATAATAGAGACATGTATAAGACATGTACACGACTATGAATAGTCAATTTATTGGTTTCCCAGTCAAAATAGTGTTGTTGTATGATCGATTCGTTACAAAGATTATTGACAGGTTATATGGCTCTGTGTAAACGGTTGTATGCAATTTGGCCCTTACCTAGAAGCTCAGGTTATATAAGTATATAAGCTTGCAACTGCTCAAACTGGACCATCATTTAGTATATACAAATGTATTTTAGTTAGAGTGTATTGGAAGCCATAAGCTTATTGTAACACTCTGGAATCCGTTCCTGGAACCATACAGTACTAAGCAATGAGTGTAAAGTTTCTTGCTCTCGGAAACAACGACTTGCCACTGACGGGGTTTGAAACCACGCGGTCATCAATCCTTAGATTAATAGTCCGACACGTGAACCACTCGAATACACCGCTCTTATTTACTGCCAAATTCCTTTATAACCACAGATATATAACTATAAATTTTATATTTAGCTCCATGTTTATAACTAATTAAATATAAGATTTTGATTTGATTGGGTTTTACATTGCATCAACACAGTATAGGCCATATGGCGACTTTCCAGCTTTACTGATGGGGGAAGACCTCCGTGCATTATTTCATGCACGAACGGGTACGTGAGTAGAACCACCGACGTTCCTTAAGCTAGCTAGATAGCTTCATTACTTGAAATAATCCAACAATTATACAGCTGTATACAATATACTTACTGCTGCATTCTGTATGACACTGTTTTAAGTGGTAGTATCTGTTAAGGTTTCCACCCATGCCTCTGTACAGGAACTTATTACATGTACGGGTTTTGGTGTTAAAATAATAGGCACCTACTGTTCTCCCGCCGTAACCGCTTTCAGGCCCATCCAAGCAACGTCTTGGGAATGCTTAAAGTAATTAACAGTACAATTTAATCTCTCAAACAATTGGAGGATAATAACGAACCTTAATTTTCTGAAGAAAAAAAAACGTTCGTGGAAAGCATCACAATAGGTAAAATAGAAGACCCTGTTTGATTGAACATGATTTCTAATGAGAGATATCAGGAGATTTAACATCTTTTACTCGTCTCCATATCCTCTAGCATCGGCTTACGTTTGGGGATAATTAATTTTCAACAATAAGCCGTAAAGAATTGAATTTATAATTTAGATCATATTCGAGGACTTTTTCAAGAATTCTGATCAAAAATGTTACTAAAAATAGAAATATCTTTTTACGGAGATATTTGAAAACAAATTTAATTGTCGAATAATTACATAGATTTTATCATAAAATAAAAAGTATAAAAAGGATATCTTACTTTTACACATTCCTATATGTCCAGATGCCGTGTCCTCCACCTCGCAGAACTGTCTCTCGTAATCACACGTGTCATACTGTATATAGAAAGTGAGATCAAAATTTATTTGTTTTGTTGGATTTTAAGTTACACAAACACTCAAAATGTCATACGGCGACTTTTCAGGTTTACTTCTTGAGGAAGACCCCAGGTACCACTATAATTGCATTACTAGTATTTCAGACACGAGTAGAACCACCAACATCCCGTAAGCAAACAGGATAGCTTCCTAATATGAAATTATGACACATCTGAAACAATTCGAATCTACAGCAATTTGGGGCAAATGATTTGAAATCAATGACAATAGCCAAACAGTCACGGAGGTCCCAAGATTACATGCAAGCAATACTATTTGTAAAGCAAATTGCGATGGTGTCGATCTCTGATTAAAATAAGCTCTAGATAAAGCTCCGCTTTTAGTATAACAGAAATAAATAGATCTGAACTTTAGTCATATTGATGTCGATCTTAAAGCTGGAATTGACATACTAGACATTAAGCTAGAAACCTAGCTAACGCCTTACCCGAAACATCTTCAATCATTCAAGGGAAATACAGAAAATTATCAAATTAGTATGTAAATTTACCATCAGTGCAGAATTGTGAAAATATTAACTTTTCAACGAATTAAATTATCAACTATAATGCATGTAATAACACATTTTCGCCTACAGTTTGCCATTTCATTACACACCTCAATATCAGTTTGAATACGTTTTGAAATATTTGAATATACACTGCTGTAACTGACTGATATAAAAATGAGTATCATGAAAAATATGTCATGCTAATGTATACACTGATAGCCATTACGCTACATTATATATAATAAATTTGCGCATTGAACATTGTCATCGGATAAAAGTACACAATTTATGTTTAACTGTTAATCTTGAAAAGCTAACTGATTTTAATCTTGACATACTTTTATATTTAACTCTTAAACTTATTGTTTTACATCATTGACATTTGACTACCAAATTATTACCAAATAGATACAAAAGAAATAAATGAAAAAATACAATGAACAAACGGATAAAAAGCTCAAGCTATCAATAAATCTAACAAAAATGGCTCATCTCAACTCTTGTCAGAAACAGTACAAGATATATTTATGAGTAACTTGGGCATACCTCAGCGCCGTTACTATCTTCCATTCTGCATGGTTTTGGTCCAGATATAACACCCTTCTGACATACAAAACCATCTGTATTGGCTCTGTCACCATTTGGATCATTCGTACAACCTTTTTGTACTATAAACGTAAACAAAAACATATCAAACATAAGAATATATTGAAATAGAGTTTATTTCTTAATTTTGTATGGCTATCGGTACATGATTACATCACAACCCGTGAATAATGTGACAAACCGTAACATAAATGATAAAGCATATACATAGTAATTCCAAATCCTTTGGAAAGTTTCAGGCAAATTATGTTGTTTTTTCTTATATTTACGAAGTAAACATGAAGACAACAAATATTGCGTATAGAGACCATGCGAAAAGGCATGTACTCTAAACACTATTATAAGCTCTTGATATGTACTTATGATATTGTATACACATGTATAAAAAAACTCATAGCAAAGTAAAACAAGCTATAAGAAATTGTCATTTAAGACAAGGTATTCTGTCAATAGAAATCTGTCAATGACCATAGTTCTGCCAAAATGATCAAATCACAAATATTAAATCATGATGCACCCGGACAATAAGTGCCATTAGTTCTGTACAAGTTAGGAGAAGATGCGGTCAGAAGAAATCATTTACTCTCGTAACCACCCGCCAACATACACCAATATGATAAACAGTCTTTCCCTTTAAAACACCTACTGGTTAAAACAACCACACAAATACATATGATTTTTACAACTATACAACATATGAATGCATATAATAGTAAACAGTAAATAAAAATCCGGGGAAAAGGGAAAGAAATGAAAATAGCAATTTTACACGCAGTCGTTTAGAGGTCACGAAATAGTGCGACATCTTTCACGCCCCTTGAAGCAGCAAAAGGGATATTCAAACATAAACACTAAAGTGCTGTAATCAATTAACCGAAGGACCAGAAAAAATATAAGAATAACCGGTAAAATTGAAAATATACTTGCATTTAACGAGAAAAGTGCCTGTATTTCCTGTTGAAGACCCTTTCATTTATTTAATAAAATATGTTATAACAACACATTTTCTATGGAATCAAAATAGTGAACAGTCTGTCTTTGTTGTTTAGGTAATACATCTAGAATTATTTGCGGTTCATCAACAGTCTCTATGATGCATCGGTTGATAACAACATTATTACAATTTATCCAATATAACGCCTTTCATTAATCAACATGACCAAACAAGAAAACACAGTTTATCATAATCATAAATGTAATGAAATAACAAAATATGCTCCTACTTGAACATTTGTCATAACAATCTGTCAGTCGGTTGAAACCACCCATTGCTTTGCCTTTATCACAGGTACCTTCCTCCTGGTTCCAGAAATATTGGCATTCATCACCGTTTGAGCAGCGTGTCGTGTTCCTGACCATACAAATACGAGGAAGACCTGAAATAAGTAAAACAAACTATTAGTTTTAAGATACTATATTTCCCAGATTATAAATAAGTAAAAGCTATTAGTTTTAAGATACTATATTTCCCAGATTATAAATAAGTAAAAGCTATTAGTTTTAACATATTATTCCTCAGAAAATAAATAAATATATATACACATGTTACAATTTTCAAATTACACAAGGTATTTCAAATATTCTGGCAAAATAAGATTAGAATGATAGACAAAGTGTCTTATAATAGTCTTCTCCTTATAAAAAATATTACGTGAATTAATTAAGATTTAAAATATCACCGAATACTCAATGTCTCATGAAGTTAAGATTATCCAAAACACCATACGAGTCTTGGTACTTTTGCCAATAAACAAAAAGAAAAGTAAAAAAATCTGATAGAATTATCTAAGATATTTCAAAATAGGAAACTAAGTGTTTGAATTCTTTTATTATAAAATCGAGGAACATTTTGGACTTTTATTGCATGTGCATTAAGTATTTTAAAAGGGGCAACATGCAATGTTGTTTTCCTGTTTGTTTACGAGTTTTAACAGAAACTTTAGTAACCCTAAGTCTGTTAGCGGCATCTTAATCTATCCACACTAACAAGATCAGCCAGGAAGTCAGTGTCGTCCACCGTTCGCTATTCGGTCAATGAATAATTTGAAAATTGACTTAGAATTGCTCAATGGTTTTGTCCAATATATTTTATAGCAAATAAGCTTTTATGTATGGAAGTCAAATTACTGCTTTGTTTACAATTTGCTACTTATATTACAAACTATTTCACATTAATCACTACGTTCTTCAGGGGATAAGTGTCTAACATACTCTTCAACCACTTTTCAAATGTTATAAGAGAAAAATTCATTCTTCTCCTTAAAAGTATTCATTTTATCTAGTTAACTTTTTTTATTAATTCGTTTAATTCATTATCGACTTTCCATTGCTCACTCCTTAAACTTTATATAGTCATCTCATTACTGTACTTTCAATCACAACCAATTTTAAATTTCCGGGTGTGTTTATCTTATTTCCAGGTGTATATTAAGTTAACACCATACAATGGACATTCATTTACCCTTTTTCAAAATATCACCATATTATTCTGCTGTTATCTTATTTAAAAACATCACAACGCCGATTTTATCGCACACAATTGTTGCCCTCTAATTACGTACCCATGATATCGGGTAACGCTGAGGTTATTGTACAGTCTGGCATTACTCCAGAGTCAACCATCGTGACAGGTGTTCCACGTATCCTCATACCAGTATCTGTGTCCACACAATAATATATCTGTATTGAATGGAGTGTCTTCGGTAAAGTTGTTCCCATCTGGCAGAAAACAGAATCATAAATTAGTACTTCTAATGAATTATGCATGATAAGGCAATGATGCAGTTGTATTTCATTTAGTCTTTTCGGTATTATTGTTTTTTGGCCAATATTCCGACAACTGCTTTGTATCTCTATCAAACTAATGTCTGCAAATATGGTATTCATCCGCGAGAATGTTTAAATAAAATAATAACTCAATGATTCTCTTATAAAATGAGAGTATTTTCAGATCAAACAATGTATCGCAATACATGTATTTGTTTTGTTATAAAGTGCGCTATTGTCTTCAAACTGATTGTTAGCCAAAGTGAACGTTTTTTATTAACATTTGACCCATAATGTGACAAGTGCACATAAAAGCGACATTTTCATCAAGGAAACAGAAAAAACAATATCTTTCAACATCATCTTTTTTTAAATCATTTAAATTGACATGTACATACATAATACTCCTCAGATGCTTTAAGTTACAATAACATCATACCTGAATCTGTTGATAGTTGCCTGCTGCGTCACATGTGAATGTCGACATTATATTTTGAGGAGGTTTAAATCTGTTGAACATTTCTTGTAGAACCATTTTCTCCTTCATATGTTCAGATCCCATCATAATAGCCGAAATGGTACTAATTCTTTGCCTGTCTCTATTACACATAGTATCTGAGAAATAAGCATATAGAACAACATTAACAACAACAACCACAACAACAACAACACAGACTGTGACATTCAAAAGTTGAAACAAGACAACATTTTAAACGATTGACCACTGCTATTGGCCTATTTAAACGTGACAAAAATGTCATATTTGAAAGAGTATTTTCACATTCTGAATAAGTAGTATGAAACTTTAAAACATTTTTAAAATAGCTGCACGGTAAACAACTGTTAATAACATGCGAACTTGACAACTACAACTTAACAACTAAAATATTCAGATAACATAGTACTGATATTTGTGATAGAAAAGGTGTACAAATTGGTGCCTTTAGGACAATGAAATGACTAAATACTAATAACATAATGCTAAAACATTTGATTCAGCATATTTAATAGAAAAATTAAAAACCGCTGAAAATGGTGTAAAGCTTTTAAGCGTTTTCTAACTAGTATTTGTTAAAACATACAAAAAGTTTTGTTTTTTTAAATCATTAAAAGTAATATACATTTATATACAAAACGTTTTACATAACTTAATGTGGCATTATCGTAGGACCTAAATCAACATGCTAGATACAGGTTCTCCACAATCTACTCAATGAAGTCATAATATTCCATTACCATTGTCTTACAATTATCAAACATAAAAAGTCACAAAAGAAACCTCACCTCTCGGTGAAACCGCTCCTGTTGTTTCACAGAATAAACCAGAGAACCCGGTCGGACATTTACAGACCTCCCAGAAACTTTCCCCACTTCCAATTTGGCATGTTCCACCATTTTGACATATGTCAAAATTGTCAAACACTTCACAAAGTTTCATTTTTAAGGCTTCCATCATGGCATGTGATTTCTCCATATCATCTATAGGAAATAGCAAAGAAATTAAATCAACAAACATTTTGATGCAGAAATGCTCAAAGTGATATTTTTTGATACAGTTTGCTACTTTGTCAAATTATATGCACGAACATGCATTAGCAATGCTTTGAAGTTTTAGATTTGGAAAATTTATGAATAACCACCTCCTAACCTCAAGAAAAAAAATCATAAATCATTTGTTTTGGTCAAATTATGTGCAGTTGATTTCTAATATAGCATAATTTTATTATTTCAATACTAATCTTAAACTAGAACTCCGCGAGTCGGATGTGTCGCCTTGTGAACAATGTAGTTTAGGAGAAATGGCCAGGACAAAAATGAAATATGAAAAATAACAAAGGGCAATAACTAAAAAAATAATAAGTGCAGAGCAGCAGTTTCTGTGCACTGCACTTCTTATCAATAAGATCTATCATTCTATGATGTTTCAAGTCCATAGCTTTCATACTTGAGGAGAAATGACCAGGACAAAAATAAAGTAAGAAAATCAACAAAGGGCAATAACTCAAAAAATAAGAAATGCAGAGTATCAGTTCTTATTCATTGCACTTTTTCTTAATGAGATCTATCATCTTATGAAGTTTCAAGTCCATAACTTTTATACATTAGGAGAAATGGCCCGGACAAAATTAAAGTATGAAAATTAACAAAGGGCAATAACTCAAAAATTAGGAAGTGCAGAGTACCGGTTCTTATGCACTGCACTTTTTCTTAATGAGATCTATCATCCTATGAAGTTTCAAGTCCATAGCTTTTTTAGTTGAAGAGAAATGGCCCGGACAAAATTAAAGTATGAAAATTAACAAAGGGCAATAACTCAAAAAATAAGAACTGCAGAGTACCGGTCCTTGTGCACTGCACTTCGGGTTATTGAAAGAAGCATGCATACCAAGTTTGAAGTCAATCAGACTTATAGTGACTGGGTTATGCTCCGGACAAGCTTTAGGGGACGCCGACAACGACGCCGACAACGACACAGACGCCGCCGACGCCGCCGACAAAAGTAACCCCTATATGTCACCAGGGTCTTTCAAATAGAATGGTCTGGAGACAGACCAATTTTACGAAAAATGCTGTCTCGGTTGAGTCACGTGATTGGGTTATCTACCGACCGTGATATTGCATTCAAAAATCAAATTATAAGATAATGTTTTGTTAAATCAATCAAAAAATTACTAAAAACTAACTCTGACTACATTATATTATCAGTTTTTACTTTAAAAGTAACAATTTTATAGATTTGCAATGAAATTAGAAATTTTTCGTTCCCGGTGTCAAGGTAAAAATCTACTGCTCATATTTGAAAATAGGTCCGAGTTTCATGAACTTTTTTTACATTCATGCATTGTTCAATTACAAAATAGAAATTGATTTTACAGAGAAAAGATGTTATTAAATCGTATCATGTAAAAATATTATAATATTTCATGATGCTATTTGCGAATATTTGATGTTTAATTTGGTGCATTTTCAAAATGGTGCTGATTATCCGCAAATATTCTGAACAAACAATATATGTTTTTTAACAAAGGTGGTTTTAAAAAAATCATTTCCTGAAATATTTATCCTTTTTTCAAAGGTTTAAAGATTTTTAAATAACATCATGTCGTTAAAATTTTCATTTTTGCTCTTGTATTTATTATTCGCCCTTTTCTTGAACACTTACATAATTTGCTTATAGCAAACTATACCGATTTATACCGAGACATGTTTAATTGTAGCAAGAAAGGTTTACATAGCGTGTTTCCAGACCATTCTATTTGAAAGACCCTGATGTCACCTTTTCAAGGCGACACAAAAAGTAATACACATGTTGGTGTAAGATATGTTAAATCTAATAGACAAACACAACTTACCCAAAACGTATTTACTCAGTTACATATAAAATATTACAAAATCTTGTTCAAATTTTCTAAATCATATACTTTTAATGAATGTATTAATTTTATGTACTAAACGATATGACATTAAAGTAATCGGAAGTGACTAAAACATTCACCGTCATTATCCTCTCGATCATCATCCGGTAATTTGTCCTCTTCCTGTCTCTCAATACCATACTCATCCCTTCTATACTCGTCATCCTTTTCCATATCCTCGTCATCATCATCATTATCCTCATCCTCGTCTTCATCATCATCATTATCATCATAATCACCATCTTCATCATCGTCGTCATCTTTTCCATACCTCATTTCACGATTATCACGTGATTTCATAAAGAAAGAGATCATCTCATATTCTGTAGTTCGTCGATTAGCATTTTCTTCGCGTGCAGCTGCCCGTTGTCTCAAACAAAGTGGAACACCTTTAGTATTAATAAGAAATCTTTCTGATTAATACATACATGTATTTGAAATGAAATATTATACCTAAAATTGCTTTATCTTTGAAAAACGTTAAGTGTTTAAAACCACCGACATACATTTGTTGGTTGCTATGTTCATGATTTTGACATAATCTAACATAACTTGAAAGAAAATATTATTATTTGGATAAAGTGCCAGCCTCTATACTCTGGGTCTTACTTTAGCAGCTATAATAATAATAATAATAATAATAATAATAATAATATAATGATAATAATATTAATACCTCGCAACACAAAAAAAGTTTACATTGAATTATTCCAAATGGAAAAGCTTTTTCCAAAATCAGAATCAAGATTTATTATTATTGAAATTTTCATTGAACTCTACATAAACAATGTCCTTAGTAGCAGTACTACAAATTTGATTAATGACGTTGATACACTAAATAAAAAACAGTACAGTTTATTTACCATCATTGCAATCGATCTTTTCGCCCTTCAAATTATAAAATTCAGCTTCACATTTCCCGCAAGAATTTATTGAACACACTGCTGTCCTGTCCTTTAGACAAATCTTGTTGTCACATAGAGTGAGGGGACAGCATTTTCTGTCTTGACAATCTGAAATGTCATTTCAAATGAGAAATAAATGGTTAGCAATACATGTTTATATGTTTTAATTATTCAACATCAGACGTAACATAAACCACAAAATAATTATATTTGAATTTTGTTTGCAAGGGTAAGAAACATCATCCGAAATTGCACATCTAAATAGCAAAGTATCAAATGTTCTAGAACCAAATATTATTATTCACCATATAAATGTAAACACTAAATCATACATATATATAGAACTTTGTCATCATTTAAATAGAAATGTATTATCAGAATATCTACACTATACATTTCTATTGTTTTTATCAATATTTTAAATACTTAGTATGGAAAACATGTTAACTGTACACACCAACTTTACGTATATTCAAAAGATAATAAGCGACATTAGTAATCAAGTAGTGCTGTCCTCGATTGAAAAAAAATCTCTAAAAAAACATCCTATTTTATCTATAATTATCGCATGGCTGTGAGCTTTTCCTTTGTTCTTTCTAACCCATTATACTCAGTACACTTCAATGAGCATTTCAAAACTGTATTGATATATAACAGTACAGTTTTTTCATTGATTCATATAGGAAAAAAACTCGACTGTTATATATCGGTCGAGTTTTTTTCGCACCTGTTATATATCAATACAGTTTTTTCATAGAGGCTCCAATGGGGCAGTGGTAACGACCATTCCCAGTAGCAAAAAAAACATAAACTAATAAAAAATGAAATCAATAAAATAAAATAAAAATATAAATACAATGAAAAATATAGACAAAGATAATAAATGAAATAAAAAAGCCCTTTAATCTTAAATCAATCTTGGTAACAGTTTACAATCCGCCTCTTATATTGGATGTCTTTTGTATATTTTTTTGCGGCAGCGAAAACAACTTGAAAAACTGCCTTATGATAAATAACTGTAATGTAGCTAATGATTAATTTATTTATTTGTTTCTATAAAAAAAGAAGACATTATGCCATTGCGATAAAACAGTTATAGTATATGAAACTCGTTAGTTACGGGGGTATAACACTGGCTGGGGCGACATCTCGGGATGTTTCTGCAAAAAAAATTGTCTCGGCCTAGCGGCCTCGCCATTTTTTAGCAGAAACACCCCTTGATGTCGCCCCAGCCAGTGTTATACCCTCGTAACTAACTCGTTTCATATACTATAACTATTACTAATCGAACTTATATTACTCTACAAAGAGACTTGTTAACAATATATCATATATCAACACCAAGAAAGTCTCTTGTTATTGCAAAATTATTATGCATTTACAAAGTTTGATAAACATCCTATGCATTAAACATTTTTATAACAATACTAAATCATTAACAAAACCCTGTATTTCCAAAAGAAAATAGTTAAAAAAATATTGTATATATACATTGTAATATTTCAATACTCTAATCCACGTCGTTTTTAGTTTCGATGGACGCCGATTAAAAAAATTATATGGTATATATACATTGGTATACAGACAGAAGACTTCACACGATATGAAGATAGGGATACTTAATGAATAGAAAACTTCTTACCAACAGCCAAAGGTTCTCTTGCTGAAATTGTAACAAAGAATTGTAAGCATATAAATATTCTTTCTTGTCAACCGTTTTTGTTTTACACGGATATTTATTACTACTTTAGAAACTCATTCATTTTAGAATGTATATACAAATTATACATCGATAAAATCATCTTTATAAGCCGTAGAAATAATAAGTCATACATTATAATACTATTCTTATTAAATATGCAAAAGATGTTTGATCAATTTGTTTTGAGCTGTATTTATATTTATGGTACATATTTTAACTATTTTTACAGAAATCTGCAGACTGTTTATTACGGCTAGAGGTTTCACGTTTCATATATACAACATATTTTACCCCGACTCTAATAATTTGCTCAAGATGAATGAACTGAATCACTAACAATATGTAATATAAATACCTTTTTGGGCTGCAACACACTTTGTCAAGCATGTTTGTGATTCATAAAAGGTACAACATTTTTGACCATTTGAACACTTGAAGTCGTTACTCTGGCAGGTATCGGCGTCTTGTGGCACAGTCTGACATTCGGCTGGCGTTGGAGGACACGAACCTTCCCGTACTTCAGAAAATACCAAATCAGATTGTTTTTTTACAACATATTTAAACTCGAAACTAGACACACTTGAAAATTTTAAAAAGGAAAAAGAATGTGCACGCACTTATCAACTGTTGTTTATGTGATTTCATAAATATATTTCTAAGACTTTCCTTAATAACTTATATTGTCTGCATCTTCTCTTCTACAACGCTTGACTGTGGTTATCATATCAAAGGAAAAAAACAATAAACAAAAAAGCTATTTAAAGTACAATACATTTCATTCATGAAATCATTTATACTCTTCCATCTTTTGATATATGCATATATAGAACATGTTTATTATAAGCTTTTCCAAAACATTTTCCTAACACATAAATAGATATAGAAAGTGGGTTTCTTTATTAATCCGACTTTTGACACATTGAATTTCTTTATACCCTAACAATAATTACTTGTTTAAATTTATCTACCTTTCGTGCAGTCTCTGTTTCCAGTGAAGTCGGAACCGTTGATCTTTCTGCCGTCTTCTGTAACACAATACCCTCGTCCTGTCTCTGTTACCATTTGTAATGGACTAAATCTGAATACAACCACAAATATCTATTATGTTTAGAAGCAAGATAATTATACAGTTTGTGATCAGATGAATGAATGCAGTGGAGGGTACCTCAGGTCTTCGTCTTCCAGATTAACTGGGAAGTCGTCATATGACATTTAATAATGTTGATGAAATGTAAAACAAAATAAAATAAAAACAACAATAACAAAAACAAAACAAAAAACAACAAAGAAACAACAACCAAAAAGCACACACACAAAACATGGATTTACAGCATTTTATATTTATAAAAACGTCAAGTTTGGTACTCTCGTAGCAAGTATTTGTCACCAAGGCTTTTCTTTTGCATATTGGACATTTTCAACATTACTGTAACGTTTCATTCATCAAACTTTTCACTTTGATAATAGTATGTTGTATATTATAAAGATTTGTAAATAAAATATTTTTAGTTCTTTATAATACGTTTAGTAGTATTCAAAACAAAGTAAAGTAAAATGTACGTGTGTTATGACAGATTGTTTAAGTTACTATACATTTTTAGATATGACAAAAGTAAGATGAAAGACCATCGAGCAGACTATTAGAATACAAACCCACAGTCCCATTGATTTTATCTTAAATTAACCCTCCACTACTTTTCATTCACCAACGCGTAAACAAAGTTTACAACGAGTTTTGTTTAAAGACCGCGTAACACATTTTTAATGGTTTTATATCATATCATTCATCATTTAATTATAATTTATATAAACATTTGCTATACATATCTTAATAATATCTGTTATATTTTGCGGTTCGGATCGGAATATCCGTCCCTCGGTGACCCGCCCAATGGCGGTAACGAGGCTTGCCGAGTAACCGCCCATAGGCGGGTGACAGAGGGACGGATATTCCGATCCGAACCGCAAACATATGTCAGATATTTTTTCTTGCATATTCTACCATATTCCATTATATTTGATTTTTTTATTCTTTATTTTAATGAAAATTTATACCATTACAACCGTAACTACTTTCTTACAAAAGCGTATGAATTACAACATTCATAACGGTATAATGACGTCATCCTTACTATGCCATTGTACAGCACGCGACTCATCTGGAACACCCGTGCCAGATGAAATTTCCGGCATGGGTAAAACTAACGGAAACACCAGGCTGATATGCAAGAAAACATGTTCTTGGATGTTTTGGAAATTGTTTTAGAAGGATAATTATTTACATATATAAAACTTAACTTAACTGTATGTTACATCGTAAGGGGCGTCCGTGACCGAGTGGTTAAGGTCGTTGACTTCAAACTACTTGCCCCTCACCGCTTTGGGCTCGAATCCCTATCTCCGAATCCCGATAGGGACTTTGAATTCTTTTATGTGAGCAAGCTATCCAGCTAGCTTACGGAACGTCGGTGGTTCTACACGGGTGCCCGTTCGTGCCTGAAAAAAAATGCACGGAAGAGCACCCGAGGTCTTCTTCCACCAGTAAAGCTAGAACGTCGCCATATATACTGTGTCGGTGTGACGTTAAACCTAAACATACAATATGTTACATCCTTAATTACAACATGCAAGATATCTAGTTTGAAATGTAAGGGATTTTTAGAGACAGACATTCACCACTCACCTCTTATTCTGACATCTGGGTAGTTTAGTTAGCACGGTACCATCACCACATATACCTCGACTCGCAAGCTGCTTTTTTCCTTCCTCTAATAGTTCTTCACACTTACTTTTATCACTGTCGTCTTCAGTTTCTGTGAGCACATAGTAATAAAAATGGTCAAAACACTACAGAGTTATCGTTCATGGACCTATCTAAGTATTACGTAGTCATTGACAAAAAATCTTATATTGTATTGTCAAAGTATTATAGGGTAATTTTGAATCAATTTGCAACGAATTACTTTAAAAATATCATTTATTCTTACAAGAACTCGAATGAAAAATTGGTAAGTTATGAGATAGCATACCAAATTTTTATTCAGGCCATTCACCCATTTATGTTCATAGGAATATATCAATTCTCCTACAGGTACTTAGTCCTGTACCTTTAGTTTGAAATTAACACATTTATTTTCTTATATCAACTAATGTTTGAAATAACATACCCATTTTCATACAAGTCTTACGGCCACATCCTTCGCAACACTTTTCGTCTTCCTCACATTCTGAATCCATTTTACACGACTTCTTACATATCGGTCTGTCACCTCGTTCCACTTTTGGACAATAGCCCATTTTTACTAAAAATATAATGTACGTATAAACTATTGTACGTATTTATCCTTAAAAAGATTTATCTTTTTGACATATATGGCTTTGCTTTTTATATATAGTTTAACTGAAAATACTACAATCTGTCTACTTGACACTTTAAATTCGTATGAGCATGGTTTTAATTATCCTATTTTATACCATCATCAACATTTTGTCGCAAACGCAATCTCGTTCTTGATAGTTAAAATGCTGAATGTCTAAAAAGCGTCAAATAACGCTGGGCCAGTTTAACCAACCTTTACATTTTTCTTTTCATTTGGCTATGCATATTTTGATTTTAATACAAACATTTTCAAAAAAGTTATTTAAGGAATAAGTAATCTGATAAAATTGAACCTTGTGGGCAACAGAATCCTTGTTTACAATCATAGGTGGCAGGACATTTGGCAGTTTTACATTGAGCTCCATCAAGCGGGGATAAACCATAACCACATACAGACATCCTTTCTGTAAATGATAGAAAAAATGTAATTAAGGTGATAAAGCAACAATAAATACCATAACTAGTACAACTACTACCACCACCACCACGACCATTACCATAACTAATACCACAACTGCCACAGCTACTACCACTACCACTACTATTACTACTACTGCTACTGCTTTTACTTCCACCACAACCATCATCATCATCATTAACACAAACAAAACCACTTCGCCCGACACCACCAATTCTATAACTAGTACCACTACTATCACCACTACCGCTACTACTACCACTACAACTACTTCTACTATTACTACTTTTACTACTACTGATACTGATTCTTCTACTACATACACCACCACCATACTGATTCTTCTACTACCAACACCACCACCACCATCATCACTACCATAACTAGTACCACTACCACTACTTTTATCACCACCACCATTACCACAACCACATAAACTTCTCAGAGCAATCTTTAGCGAGTTAATATACATATCAATATAAACCCTATACATAGATAGTTTGATGTAAATGTAAATACCACTGTGGGACAATTTAAACACTTAAGACAAGCAGTAAATAAACAATATAAAAAGTAGACTTCGTTACGCTATCATTGGTCTATGAAACTTACACATGCATCAGATACATGGATGTGACACGTTTAACACCGTAAAAGTAGAGTACGGTTTACGAAATAAATTAACAGAAGTATCAAAATAAATTCAAAAACCTTATCTTTCAGAGATCTTCATCAAAGTACGAGGTAAAACGTTGAATTTTTTTTTGTTACCAACAAGAATCAGAGGCTAAAACGCAAATAACGAACCAATACAAATGTGTTTAAACTACAACACAAATCTCGTACAGTTAACAGAAAATGGGCATGTACCTTGACATGATTGGGGACTGATATTTCCAAATGAATTCGGCAGATTTCCCTGGTTACGTTTGACGAATTCGTATACTTCACCGGTACATTTTCTGACCACATTATCGTTCTTGCCGGCCGTGAGTTTCTTGGCAATACATTCAATGTAATCGTTAAGATTTCTGGAAAAAAAAGTAAAGGACAATATAACAAAAGAGAATCCACTAGAATATGAGTTCTTCAATTCATAGCCCCCATAATGCCTCAGAAATGCTTTTATATTTATTTCTCAAAAACTTTGTAATTAAGGTAATATGCTCCCAAAGAATCACTTACTGGTCAATTACCTGAACCATCGTTTGGTTATGTTGCTTTTCGGCAGTTAGTACAGTTATAGTTATTAAATATTTTTTATGGAAGTCAAAATACTGTTTTGTTCACATTGTGCTAGTTTAATGACAATAATTGCACAGTCAGCTGTACTTTCTTCATGTGATAAATATCTAACATACTCTGGAAATATTAACACGTTATAGCACTCGTGTCTGCTCTAACTAAAGGACACATTTATTCGTTTTTTAGGCAAAATGTACATTTGATACGCATAAATTTGAAAAAGTCTACTAGAGATTTAACAATACAGTTATAAAAGCACAGTATTATAATTTGCATTCCATTACACTTGAACAACAAAAGAGAAGGAAGTAAAACTGTTTCAATGAAAACAAACAAAAGCCACAATGAATGAAAGAGCTGTACTGTTTCATTGAACTAAAATATTGTTTGAGACTTTTATGTGTATATCTATTATTTTCAATGCAATAATCGCGTCAGTTGGAACGCCTATTTCGTGTCGAAGTTTAGAGCTATGGTACAACAGTGCGAATATTAGATTTTATCTTTTACAATTTCAACATTTCCGCGTTCGTTGCTATTCTGAAATCAAATTATTATTTCAAATCAGCAGCCACAACAGTGAGTCGCATTCTGTATAGTTTGGACTTATTCTTTGTTCTCATTTATCGTAAATGTTTGTTATACGGTACATACTTGCAATTGATATTTGTTGCTGACGATCCAGTTACTCTACCACACTGTCCTGCAGCATTCAGTATATTTGTCTTGTTAAAGCAAGTCTTTACATCGTTGGGTTCTAGAATGAAATCATAAATCAAAAGAAATAGTAATAATACAGATACAAATGATATTAGTGCTTTACAAACTGTTTAAAAATACAAGATAGAAGATCCATGGTGTTTTACTACTAGATTAAAGAGTTGAGATGTTTTAGTATATCAATTGATCAAAAATATTTTTAAAAAAATCTATATACTTATTCTTTTTACATAATTTCGTGGATGCCAAGACTATTGATAATGAAGAAACTAGAACATTAAATATTTTTGCATTGACAAAAGATATTAAAAAATATTACAATACCTGGTCTTTCTGGTTGCTTTCTTAACGGGTTCTCTGTTTATAAATAAAAAATTAATGGTTATGAAATTGTTTTAATATTTGTAACAATCATCTGCAAAGAACAACAGTAACACGTAAGAAAAGAAAGATAAGAAAAGAACAACAGGAACAAAAAGTAGAAAATACCCCAACATTGCTTGATTTATAGATTAGAAATAATGTATTAGAAATTAAAAGAAATAATTATAAACAAAATAAAGAAAACTCAAACCAGGACTAGAATCGCATACAAAATGAGATTTTCATTTTAATTTTATCCTTTTTTTTGGCATGTGGTTTAAGTTTCAAATGTCTTGCATGATCCGTTAAAAAAATCAAACCTTATATTTTTATGGCTTTTAAATTTCAGTAGACTTAGGTCATTTTTTATACATTACCTTCGCAATCATCGGTTCGTAAATATCGTGCAATATCTGCAATCTTGATAGCATTATTTACTTTTTGTAGTGCCCTCACTAAGTCAAGCTGTGATTCTTCTAGAAGCTTTGCCATTCTCTCGTAACACAACTTCTGATATGTCCCGGGTATAATTTTCTCCGAAAAACAGTCGACTAACTTCCATATAAATCTGTCAAATGTTAAATACTGAGATGGACATAAATGCATAAAAAGTCAGATATAAATAACTGGTTATCAAGCATGAAGCTGATGTATGTGGATGTTTTTATGTACTTATATACGACTCACTAAAAAGTGTCATTTTGCAGTATATCATACTTCTTATTCAAAATGATATAAGATTCAGCTGCATCACAGCCGAATAATTAAAAGCATTGACAGTGCAACTTAGGAACCTACACTATTCGCAAGCATTCTAAGACCAAACCTCATAGCTACAATAACTGAAGACATTTATGAATAAAGCAAACTTCATACCTTCAATAATTGAAGGCAATTATAAAACAAACTTCATCTACAATAATTTTAGGCATTTATAAAGCAAACTTAACCTACAATTATTAAAGGCATTTGGAAAGCGAACTACAAACCTAATATAACAAAAGGCATTGATAAAGAAACTTCATACCTACAATTATTAAAGGCATTTGGAAAGCGAACTACATACCTAATATAACAAAAGGCATTGATAAAGAAACTTCATACCTACAATTATTAAAGGCATTTGGAAAGCGAACTACATACCTAATATAACAAAAGGCAATTATAAAGAAACTTCATACCTACAATTATTAAAGGCATTTTGAAAGCGAACTACAAACCTACTATAACAAAAGGCATTTATAAAGCAAACTTCATACCTACAATTATTAAAGGCATTTGGAAAGCGAACTACATACCTACTATAACAAAAGGCATTTATAAAGCAAACTTCATACCTACAATTATTAAAGGCATTTTGGAAAGCGAACTACATACCTACTGTAACAAAAGGCATTTATAAAGCAAACTTCATACCTACAATTATTAAAGGCATTTGGAAAGCGAACTACATACCTACTATAACAAAAGGCATTTATAAAATTATAAAGAACACTTCATACCTACAATAACTGGAGACATAGATAAAGCAAACTACATACATACAATAATGAAACGCATTTGAAATGTCATAGCTAGAATCATCAAATGCATTCTCATACCAAACTACACCTGCAGTAATATGCAGTACTGATGGTTTTAACAACATACCTTCAATAAATGAGTTGGAGAGCAAACTTCATGCTTCTAATGCATTCTTAGACTTACCTACACACCTGGAGCAATCTGCAGCATTGATGGAGCAAACTACATACCTATCATAATTAAAGGCATAGGGATTGCAAATAACATACCTGCAGTAATCTGAGGCATTACCAGGTCTCCACGTCATGGCGAGCTGTGCTACACATGAAACTTTTAAATCATCATTGGCGAATATTGACAAGATGTCACCACATTGTCTCATATCTGCGCATTAGAAAAGAAGCTTAACAGAACGTTTGGCAAAATGATAATAAGGTTGAAATACATGTAAATAAGTAAAGTCATCATATCAGATACTCAAAAACCTTACGAACTAAATGCGTGTATTGTAAATTTTAATAGAAGTCCCACGCCATGTCATAGATATTAAAGGACCTCTCCAACGCAACGGAAATCAACGTGTATAAACATCGCAGACTGTTTGTTCATGGGATATAGTGGTACGTAAAATAATGTATCTGTAACATTATCAACTGATCTAATCGTACCTGAAATGCACTATAGTGATATTTACTGACTGAGATTGCTCTTGAGAAAACAATGATTATGGTAGAATCTTCAGCGATATATAATCTTCAGATTATACCAAAATAGTGAAAATACATGGTTGATGTTGGGATGGAGTGAGCGAGAAAGTTTATCTTTGCGAGCTATATACCAACGTAACGTATTATGACGTAATGACTGGAATCCAGCAAGCTTTATCCACACGGTGATATTTGATGACTCGATTTATTTATGAGAAGATAAGTAATAGAAAGAGCACCGAAACACGAGGTTATCTGATTTGTACGAGGGGGCGTAGCCCCCGAGTATTAATCAGATTACCGAGTGTTTGGTGTTCTTTCTCTTTTGTATCATAGTCAAACATAAAAACACGTTCCCTGTTGTTACAATATGAAACCCCGGCAAAAATGAACCAATGAACGAGCATCTAAATATGACATTTCTGTCGATTTCACTTTCACTGCCGTCACAATATGTAAACCCCAGCAAAAATGAGCCAATCAATGGGCATGCTCTGGAGTGCGGGTAACTAATACCCGCACTCCAGTTAACGCACTGTGCATGTTTATGTATACGATTTAACCCTGACACATTTTCAACAGAAAGGTCTCCAAACTATGATACAATAACAAATACAATACATTGTATCTGTCACGTAATAAATGTTCATATCGTACCTGGAATACACTGATTGCATTGCTCTCCCCCGACCTTACAACAGGTGTGTTTTAGCGGTGTTTGTTGACAGTCAGTGTCTGCTGTACAATAATCACTTTGAGGACAAAGCCCGCCCTCATTTTCAATCTTTGGACAGGCAGTGTTCCAATCTGTTTAAAATAATTATACTAACACTTTAAACTACTTTTTTTTTTAAAACATGCGCTTGGAAAAACTAAAATCTACTCAGTGGTTAATTTCCATTGAGTTTATGTATTTTGCTGTTTGGGTGCGTACATGTACATACTATTTAATCTTTATCAAAATATAATCATTAGCTTATATCATATGTTAGTGTAATTTATCATGTTTTAAGACGTTCAAAAGTTTTACAAGTATTGATAGATCAGTACAGTCATAGTTTAAACAATATTTATTTCCAGAATTTACAAAATATAGACATTGTATAACAAGAATCATGGAATGCTGAATAAATAAATTTAGTGGTAAACAATGTTAAAGAAGTAATAACTTAATTTAATTCGGAAGAGGATTTGAAAACATGTCCAAGACTTATATAAATTCATTTCCTCAGTGGGTTGGAAATTCCTCAGTGGGTTGAAAAGGATGGCGGCTGACTCGTCAAAATAACGTGTAATGTTTTGAGATTTGAATGTATAATAAAAGTGATAAAAAGTGTTCCAGTGTGGAACTGAGTTGTTTGCTACCGATAAGACAGTTAACTTAATATAAATGTATAAATCATGCTTATGAAGTCGTTCTGTAACATGCGCAAGCACTATGATGTGAAACGTTTGGTGGCGACAATGTATTTTTGGACGCAACTAAAGATACTTGTGTTTTGTTCAAAGTTGAGATGTTCAGAGCCATATAGTAGATTTTGAACAGTTAAATGACACTGAAGGTTTGCAAAGAAAGTATTTCTTTGAACTTGAAAGTTTGGACAAGAAAGAAGATAATGATTTATAGTTTCAATATTACCACAGGAACAGTGTGAGTCGTTGACAATAGATTTGCGAAAAAGATCATGGTTTAAAGAACGACAGCCTAGACGTAAACGAGTGTGAAGTACTTGTGCTTTTCTATCACCAGTGCGACAGTTTAAGGTTTTTTTTTAAGTTGTCCATTCAATTTTGATTTAAAGATTTCTAAGGTTGCACTTGATTTAATTTGTTCCACTCAAGGATAACAGAGGGCAGAAAATAATCTTGATTAGTTCAAGTCAAGAGTTTACAATTGGTATGATATTTAAGTTGCGTAATTGATTTCTTTTTTGAAATTGTGTTTGTTCAGAGATAATGTTTGATAAATAATTTGGTGTAATGTGGTTTTTCATTTTGTAAAATGTTATCAGTTTTTTTTTCTCTGTAGCATTGAAAAAAAACACTTTAAAATGAAACTAAATGGGAAACCTTAGCAACTCGCAGTACAGTCAGAAAAATATAATATAATGATATTATAAAAAAATGATGATAATAAAAACGATGGTGATTATTACCCTTATCATGATGGATAACAATATAATAATGATATAAATATTTGATAATGTCTTACCTTCATCATCATCATCTTTGTCGTCACTATCATCGTCATCATCGTCACCATCTAAATTCAAATAAATGAACCGCGTCACGAAAAAACCAACATAGTGCGTCTGCGACCAGCATGGATCCAGACCAGCCTGCGCATCCGCGCAGTCTGATCAGGATCCAAGCTGCTCTCTTACCAACTCTATTTTACAAGTAGAGAAACTGATAGCGAACAGCATGGATCCTGATCAGACTACGCGGATGCGCAGGCTGGTCTGGGTCCATGCTGGTCGCAAACCCATTATGTTGGTTTGTCGTGACGCGGCTCAAATACTGAGTAAAGTACTGATAAATTCTTTCAATACCATATAATGATTGTTATGACACAAATTCATGATTAAAGAACGAGTTATAAGGTAAGATTTGTTTTTGTTGCAAAGTTTCGTCGGCTATTTTCTAGTACAATATCAGCCCATTTATATATTTCAGATATTATTACTTATAAAGATCTGTGACAAGGCTGTATTGCATGATATACATTTATAGCTCAAGCACAATTCTTATTATTCGTTTCCTGTTTCATTATTAATACATTATTGCATAATCAGGGGTACATCTTGTTGATATTATAATATTTGGTACTCATCGTTACAACGTATAGATGAGTACCTTTGTACTAGCGTTTTTAATACAAAACCGGTTTATGTATATTCATTGTTCGCTCGAATGATTCGAGCTGTATTTAATCGGGGTTTTCATATTCGGAAATCAGTTTCTAGCGAGCAACTCTTAGGGACACTCACACATTCAAATTCAATGCCAAAATTATTTTGTAAAGTACAATTTTTAAAAGCGTACAAGCTTTGCCTAAATAAATTGTTTTGTTTAATTTTTAACGGAAACATAGTGTAGACATTTTACATCGTTTTGTATAAATGTAAAATGTTTTGCAAGGATGAGGCCCAGCATTCGGTGGTATTTGACAGTCACTTTCCTGTGATGGCAAATGGGCACAGGTTTCCAAAAATATTTTCCCTTAAATAACACTGAAATCAATTCAAAAACTTTAAAAGGGTTTTTTGTTTTTGTTTTTTCCTGGACGAGTCGACCACGATTTGCAAAACATTTATATGACAGAGATAAAATTTATTAAACAATTACAATATTTATTGCTTTATGCTACACATGTATTTGCACGTTTATTATGTCATCTTGTTTACTGTCCCTAAATACAAGCGTTCTCGCATATTGCATTCGAGTGTTTTTAGTTTTTTATTTGTAGAAGTTTTGTAGGAAATAAGATGGTACTATGTATTTTGGCCGATAGCCTAGAATTACATTACAATAAACTTGAACCTTGAAACTTGAATACTGAGAATATTTGTATGTTTAAGATTACCTTTATTTACATTGCATTCACCAACTTTATTAGCAAAGGGAAGATCAATTTGTTGTCCCATACTAGCCAACAAAGGTTTAATCTGATCAAAGAGTGCACCAGGGTCGTCTTTGACGTAGCCAGCCATTCTTTTGAAACACAAGCCATCATTTTTCGGTGCAAGTTTCCCGGCAACACATTCCAGCCCATCAAATAGAAGGCTGAAAAGCATGTCAACACAATATGTCTCTTTTTCAAAATTAAACATCGAAATATCAGAAACACGTTTTTGTTGTTTGTATTGTTGTTGTTTGGTTTCTTTTTAGGGGGAGTAATATTTGATATCTAGGTGTGCATTGGGTAGATAAAACAAGACCGTTTGGTCGCGGTATTTGGATAACCTCAAAATATTTCAAGGATCAGAAAACAATTATATATAACTATATTGACATGTATAAAACTGAATAATAACAAACGACTTCTATAAGACGCCCTGTGAATTTAATTCATTTAAAAGTTAATGTTTAAAACTGCTCCCAGTTTCGGGGGAAAATGTATAACCGGTCGGAAACTTCAGTCAGTTGAGGTGCAGTACGCTATTCCGAGAGTTTCGGGTCCGATTGCCGGTTTGGATGCACATTTTCTCATCTAATGATATTTGGCGCCCAACGCAGGGCGGGCGAAGTTTTTTCTGTACTTAAAAAAAACGAAACTTGAGGACGTATCTAAATTCGTGTGTGAGATGTATAAGTGGCCGGATAGCTTAGTCGATAGAAGGTCCCGAATTCGAATATTGTTCGGGACAACGATGATTACGGTTTCTTAATAAGAAATAGCACAAGGCATATGGAATTATCAATATAACGCAGACGAGTTCAATAAAACAATAAATAGAATAGTACACATATTTTAAAACATGCTTTTATTACGGTGTACGTATGCGGCGATAAATTTACACTTACCTACAAAACGGCTGAAGTTCGGTAGCGGAAACTGAAGCTATAAATTTCTGGCCACAGTCGACTACGTTAGCAACTACAGTTTGAACAATGACACCAATGTTGACACAGTTTCCCAAAGCTGAAAAAAATGTATATATAATTATATAGTTATAAAAATAAAATATATAAATGCAACATTGTATTTATTCAAGAAAAAAGTATGTCACTCTAAAGATCATACCAACCAATGTTAATTGTTATAGAAAAGAATAAATAATAATTAAAGTGTTATGCTTGTTTTCCAATTAATATAATTATTTGTATTGTGATTCAAAATGTTACATGCTGAAAAAGCGAAATAAAATATATTTAAACTAATCCTAATTCTTTGCTAAAATTTAAGATTTAAAGCAGAATTTTTTTTTATTCAAAATAAAACTTTTAGAAACATATATTACGAATTAGAAAATAGCCATTACCAATTTATGATGCTACATTTAACATGGGTATTGTAAAGTACAACTGAATCTTTAATTCTGATCCCTTTATTTCTGTATTGTCTGTAACGGAGTCTGGTCTTTTCGTGCACATTTTTTGGTAAATTATGTAGATAAAACAGTTGGTATACTATTCATGATTGTGAAAAGATTAATTTCATTCCTAAATGATACGCGTTGTTGTAAATATTCGCATTCTTTCATGTTGAAGATAAATTGAATTGTTCTATTTTTTACACAACACTTTCTACCAAAGGTTGCAATGTCAATGGTTCTACTCAGGTTGAAATAATTGTAATTATTGAGTGCCTAATATTTAGCACAACCTCTGACCACTGTGTCAAAACACTCGCTTCGTTGTCTTTGGCTCAGTGCTAGTGTTACTTTCGGTCGCAAGTTCGAACCCATGCACTCACCCCGGAATTTTTTACGGATTAATTTGTAAATTTCTGTTATGAAATAAAAGGTTCGTGAGATAATACATGTACAGAGGGGAACTTGCGGTCTTTCTCCTACAGTAAAGCTGAAAAGTAGCCATTTCACATTAATTTTACATTGTCGAAGTGACTTAAACCAAAAAGATAATATCAAACATAATTTCCATTGGCGTTGCTTCCTTATGTATCGTTTGCCCGTACCTTTGATCAATTATATTGAATATCTGAGAAAATGAAGAATTACTTTTATAAATACTGCATTCTCCAACTTGATTTACAAAACGGAGCTCAATATTTTCACCCATAGCAGCCAACAAAGGTTTTATTCGATCAAAAACTGCACTAGGGTCATTTTTTACTAACTGAATCATTCTATCGAAACATTCGTCTTCTTTCTCTGGTGCAAGTTTCCCAGCAGCACATTTCAGCCCGTCAAATAGAAGGCTTAAATAAATAATTTCAGCTTATTATTTCACATGTTTAAATGCTATAGCAAAATATTACAAAACTTGAAAAAACTGTACTGGAATAAACATTTCTTTTAAGTTGATTTTGAGCCTATGGTGCATTGTTTAAATCAAACAAGTCAGTGCCTTGAAACTGTTTTTTGGGAAAAGTATGTACTAAAAACAGCTGAATAAATCATAAATATGTCTGACTAATAATATATCTCATTATATTTTCAATCAATCATAAAATCCTTTAAAATTCGTAAAAAAAATGAATGAATAAAAGAAAGAAAGAAGAAAGAAAGAAAGAAAAGAAAGAAAGAAAGAAAGAAAGAATGAAAGAAAGAAAGAAAAAAAGAAACAAAGAAAGGAAGAAAGAAAGAAATGTAGCTGAAAATGAAGTATGAAGAGAGGAAACTTATGCAAAATCATTATAAGAATAATTTTATATGATAATATGTATTATATGATAAATTTAATAAATTTACACTAACCTACAAAACGGCTGAAGTTCAGTGGCAGACACTGAAGCTATAAATGTCTGGCCACAGTCGGCCAAGTTGTCAACTACAGTTTTGAGAATGACGTCTGCCTTTGCACAATTATCTAAATCTGAAACATGAAAACAAATACAGATATGTTACTATAAAAATGCTAAATCGTTTTAAAGCTGCTAGCCTCCAGATGACCTAAAAATTAAAAAAACAACAAATCAAACTTGTGAAAATGTATAATCATTTTAAGAAAAGCAAAATAACTAAACAATTCAGATAATGATTAACATGTAATGTGCAGTAAATGTACTCTACTTTGTTACTAACGCAGTAAAGGCTATTTTTGCACAGTTTGACCATAATATTCAGGATAATAACCTTATATTTGAAGTTACGAGCCACCAAACAAGAGAAGAAAGTAATGTACAAGCACTGCTTTAAAAGAAATAAAAACAACTACACACACCAACAGTGTGAAAAGTACCAAATAATTCACAATACTCGTAAAATTTAATATGAAACATGTGACTGAATGTATTATTTTTATGTCTTATATCTACGGACTTCGTGCATTTGTTTTGCATAGTTTGATAGGTAATTAATATGAGCCGCGTCGCGACAAAACCCATAGTGCGTTTGCGACCAGCATGGATCCAGACCAGCCTGCGCATCCGCGCAGTCTGATCAGGATCCATGCTGTTCGCTATCAGTTACTCTACTTGTAAAAGGGTTGGTAAGCGAACAGCATGGATCCTGATCAGACTGCGCGGATGCGCAGGCTGGTCTGGATCCATGCTGGTCGCAAACCCATTATGTTGGTTTTGTCATGACACGGCTCATATAGATTGATCGTGTCTCATGCTTGCTGAAATAAATAAATTTCTATATTTATTTTGTTCATCGTATAAGGATATTTCTAACTGGCCATTTGTATTAGCTTTACTGTCACCCGAGGGTGCCTTACAATAATGCACGGAAGGGCACCTTAAGTCTTCCTCCATCAGTTAAGCCGAAAAGCGAAAAAAAATCATGTAACGCAGAAATATGAAAATAACGCAGAAAATGTGCAATTATCGCCGAATATGTGCAACATAGCCGAAACGAGTAACATGGTAAAATAAACTGACCAATATATTCTTAAGTCAGACTGAAGAATTAAATAAGCGCATACGGCTGCGTACTAATTACATTTTAACCATTCCAGTAAAGTTTTTTATTTAGGAAATTGATATCAATTTCGAGTGCATTGTGGTAGAATAATGTACTGTTTGAATTAAATATAATAATTAACAAAGCATTTGAACGATTCATCGTGCATTATCATACTAAAACGCTAGTAAAAATGAATCTATTTCCATTCTAATATGCTTATGAAAAGACAATTGCTAAAATATGGTAAAGTACATTGGGCGTAGAAGTATTTTTTTCTGGCGTCATTTGGTTTATATCTGATGTCATACGACGTGTAAGCATCCGTTGTTATGCTGTGCATAAATGTGAAATAATACACTTGACAGTCCTAACTGTTTGAATTGAAAATAATTTGGTACGTATTAGAATCGTGAGGATGATAACTTGGCAGCAGTACTAGAAGCGTTGATTGTGTTCCGTCGTTATAAATTGGTACAAAACACGCATGATCTATACTGCAACTAGGAGGCACCTTGTTCTGGACCGGGTTGTTCAAAACATTGGTTAAAATTAACCAATGGATAGCTTATCCACTGGTTAAATCCTTAACCAGCGGCCAGCTATCCAGTGGATAAAATTTCATTGTTCGACAGTTGGATAGTACACTGGCTACCTAACCAGTGACTATATGCCAGAGGCTATACATACCTTGTGCGGAAACACTCGTACCGAGCAACAACGCCCCTATTAACAGCACATTCGCCCTCATGGCTTATTTTACCAGTCAAAGTTGTCTGAAATAAAAGATATATATCGTTACAGACAATTATATAGAGGATATTGAATGAGTGTAGGTTCAATACTGATTTTATTGAACGAGTTGAATAAAATAATATTATGCGAGCCTCTCAATAAATTCAGTAATGAACGTACACGAATATAATATTCTATTTATCACATACCCAAAATAAAGACTGTTTCAAGTGCAAAATAATCATTTGTCTAAAATTTACCCTCCACCCGCTTTTTTTTTTTTCCCAATGTTGCGGCATCTATTTGATGGCATCAAATAGTGTATCTCAGTATGTTAGTGCGGAACCATCTGGTGAGTATCGTTCGTCTAACTGACCATGTGAAGTTTATTTGAAGTTTTCAAAAACAAACGAAACACTCTTCAAAATTGGAAATTTGAGTCATTGACCCGTGTAAAGTTAACATAAAGCATCAAAGGCGCATGATGAATATATTATAATATAAATGTTGGTGCGAGCCGAACCTTTTACATAAAGTATTTTATACATGTGCATCACAGCGTTAAAATGAGAACTAGAATCAATATTATCGTATTTTAAAAGATATATATTAGACTGAAGTCATTACTTTGCGTTGAAAAGCATTGGAAAATATTTACATTGTATTCTGTCTCATTCAAGAATGACTTGTTTAAATAAATAATGAATTTCAAAAGGTAAAACATTCTTTGCCCAACTTTTATTTCTTCCTAGTTTAACGTCACCTTTTCTGTTTATAGACATGAATAACATAAGATTTATTTCTTTTTAAGGACGACAAAGTCTGCATAACAAATACAAGTAATATATTTTATTCAAACTCTTAAGCACTAGAAAAAGAACCTTTCAAAAGATAAAATTCATATAGAAAAAGTAAACTTATCAATTGTAATTTTCATGGGTATCCTATATTAGTACGTTTTTAAGGCTTGGGCGTGGTTAATGGCGTCTTTAATATCAGTAACTATTGTTTTAAAATGTTTATACTTTTAAAAAAAAAAATGGACTAATTCTTTTACAGATATATTGAACAGAACATTTGCTGTTGTATCAGTTTATTGTAGAGGTATAAAACATCGGATTCCGGATTAGAAGATGGTGGGTTCAAATCTCACCGTAGGTCAGATTTTAATTCAAATGTAATAACCTTCATTTACTGGTAACGACATTCAGATGTCTTATAATTAATTAATTAATTAATTAATTAATTAATTAATTAATTAATATTAAATAACTAATTCCAATGACATAATCCACATTTACTGGTAACGACATTCAGATGTCTTATGAATAATGAATTGATATTAATTAATTAATTAATTATAATCAATAAATAAATAAAGCCCTACCAGTATAACCCACAACCCCTGTAAAACCACCTTTATTATACCAAACAAAACATATCATTAAGGACCGACACTTTTGTCTCCAATAGTTTAATAATATTTTATTGCTCTTTGAATACGATTTAAGAACGTTATTTCCACAAAAGAACATTTTAACAAAGGGCAAAAGGGTTGAGCAACAAGTTCTAGCAACATTAGTGACTGTCCTTCCCCTTGTCTCCAAAAGATCATATCTGTGCTTATTTACCTTTTTTAGAGACAGCCTCTCAGAAACGACAATGTTTTTAATTATGTTTTCATTTCAATAGTTTGTACACAGCGGTTTGACTGTAATAACTGTTTGTTTATCGTATTTCCGGGACAGATTAATAATTTTGCTTCAGCAACATTAACTCGCAAAAGGGCATCCGTCAAAGAGCGATTTAGGTATAATAATTTTAATTTTGAAGATTTGATATGTTTCGTTTTAATCCATTTCCATAGTATATATACATGTAGCTGAATCTCTACATCTTGTATTGTGTATGATCGGTTTAAACTGAATAATTTAACCGCCATTGAGAATTATAATTGCATTTTAAGTCGTGGAGTTGAATCGGCTGAGTCCGGTTTTTAATTTATCTTTCTTTTTAATGTTAAGTCGCTACACAGGTTTAAATTATTTATTACTATAAAAATGACTTCGAAAATGTTTTTTCTCACTAAATTTCACTTTTGTTTAGTTTAGTTAACTTGTGTGTACGACAATGCCCCGGGCTAAATGTATACTTCGGGTTTGCCGGTGTTATCTGATAAGAACAACATCAAAATAAAAAATTATCACTTATTTTAGTGATACAAATTTTGTTGTATTAAAGCAGCACACGTCCAAGATTCAAGATAATTTTCATATTTTTTTTTAAATGTATCTAAAAGTACGATTTTGTGAAGTGACCAAAAGGAAGCAATTTACACATTATCAATAGCACTTTCAACCCACGTTAATTACCGAAAAGAAGTCAAAATATGCAAAATAGCCCTTACAGTAGAAATATAGTTTTATAAATTCAGTAAAATCAGTAATTAACCGCAAATAGCATTTAAATTATTTCTTGAATATTGACTCTTTTTACTTGTCATAAAATATTATACCATTTTTCTCAAGTTTGATTTTATGTATAAATATCTTGGCTCATCTGAAGGCACGTAGCTCTAAATGCACCAGACTATTGAAAACACTGCCCACCCACCGTTTTGAAGGGCGGAGATATAGGAATAAATGAACAGAGTAAATGCTTAACGTCTGCGCCGGCATTGCCGGGTCAAAGCAGTTGTTTAATTGTGGCGCCATTATTACCAGGGATTATGGGCAGGCTATTAACGTGGAAGGTTTTCTTCAGAAAGTGTCATCAATTGGCGGCAGGTGGCGACACTGGGTGAAAAATAACGGAAGTGTGCCGCAAGTAACTAAATTTTGCAGCAAGTAGCGGAATTATGCGGACAGTGACGGAACTGGGCGGCGGTGACAGAATTCCAATTTATATCTCATTAAAACTCATTCAAAATGTAACTTATAAGTCCCTTGTATTCAATAAAGAACTTATTCAACATCCCTTGTAATCCAGATTATATCTCATTAAAACTTATTCAACATGTAACTTACAAGTCCCTTGTATTCCAATTTATATTCATTAAAACACATTCAACATGTAACTTATAAGTCCATTGTATTCCAATTTTATTTCTCATTAAAATTCATACAACATGTTACCTACAAGTGCCCTTGTATTCAATTAAAAACTCATTCAACATGTAACTTACAAGTCCCCTGTATTCCAATTTATATCTTATTAAAACTCATACAAAATGTAACTTACAAGTCCCTTGTATTCCAGATTATATCTCATTAAAACTCATTCAACATGTAACTTACAAGTCCCCTGTATTCCAATTTATATCTTATTAAAACTCATACAAAATGTAACTTACAAGTCCCTTGTATTCCAGATTATATCTCATTAAAACTCATTCAACATGTAACTTACAAGTCCCTTGTATTCCAATTTATATCTTATTAAATCTCATACAAAATGTAACTTACAAGTCCCTTGTATTCCAGATTACATTGTATATCTCATTAAAACTCATACAAAATGTAACTTACAAGTCCCTTGTATTCCAGATTATATCTCATTAAAACTCATTCAACATGTAACTTACAAGTCCCTTGTATTCCAACTTATACCTCATTAAAACTTATTCAACATATAACTTGCAAGTCCCTTGTATTCCAATTTATATCTCATCAAAACTCATTCAACATGTAACTTACAAGTGTCTTGTATTCTCACAGCCGATTGAAGTACACTGTGCAAGTTGAATAATTAAATAAAGAATCTATTAAAATATTAAATGAAAATGATTATCTTCATTTCGTTTTATTTAACTCTTATACAATCCGGTTTTCAAAAATGTGCGTTTAACAATTTTGTCAAACGTAGAGATGCATGTAATTGCACCGCTCGTCATACAAGGGCGGGCAGAAAGTACGAAGTTAGTTTAACAAAAGATCGGAAATTTGTCACCACATTTAAGAAATGACTGTATTAAATAATCTATGTATTTTCTTAAACGTATTCCCTATATCTTCTTATAGCTATTCCACTTAAGAAAGAATTTTCGATTTACTAAAAACCTTTGGCAGACATCGATGAGAAGACATCGTAAATTCTTTGGAAGATTTGGTAGAACGTTCGAGTTTCGTATGCGGTGCTTTTATCTTAATCATTTGAATTTAAAGCTGCATGCCTCCAGATAAACCAAAACATTTCAAGACAATCAAACTTGGGAAAAAACACACTGATATTGTAAGAAAAGTTAAAAGATTCAAGACAATAATTTTTAATTTGTGATAATTAATGACTTATTTTGCAGTTCATCACCATATTTCTACTAAAGAAGTAAGGGCTATTTTTGCATATTTTGATCTCTTTCTTTAGTAAATTACGTGGATTGTAAGTGTCGTTTACAATACGTAAATTCCTTATTTGTTTACTTCACAATATTTTATTTTTACCTAAATTAGGATGAATCTGGAGGTGTCCTTTATTACTGCTTGTCACGGTATTTCAATAACTTAAGTAATAAAATATTGCCGTTCTATGAAGTTCAAGACTTGACAATCCGTCTTAAGTATTAGAAGAAAGGGAATTGAACTTTCAATTAAAAAGATATTTAAAAGAACCCCATTTGCAGTTGTGTACTTCGACGACATGTAACATTTACTGATGGAATGAATGAATGAATGCACACAGTTTTAACTTCATTGGGCACCTTGGGTATATTAAGTTCGTGCCAATGAACTCAACAGCACGTAACATGATCTCCAAAACATTTTTCAAATCGTGAAACGGAAGTGCTATTTTTAGACATTTTCGTGACATTGAACATAATATTCATGCGCATGACATAAAAAAACAACAAAAAAGTATAAAGTTCAAATACCCGTATATATTGACTACATATATTTTGATAGTTAAATCGTGACTGCGTTTGAAAAGGCGGTATAGAAAACGACTGCCGTAAATGGACGGGTAGATGAATGTTAATGATTTAAAAAAAATGACGTGAATCATCAGTCCGTACCAGTTTTTTAAACTGTATATTCATACCTTTGTATTATATTTCAGAATATGTGAGGCGTAAAAAATATAAATTCGTAAGCTCCGACCCAGCTTATAACACTTCATATCAGTTTTTATTGACGAAGAGCGTAAACAGTATAACTGCAATGCAACTCTTTATTTATTTTAAAGCATTTCGCCATGATCTTGAAATCTAGAAAATGAATTTGCACAAAAAAAAAGATCAGTATTTGCTCTACATCTTACAGAAAATTATATATAACAGATAAACAATGTTAGCTGTTTAAATTTGATAGGATTCTCCTTAATTAATTGCCTTATGTGTCCGACAGACATTATTTGTACATGTGTTGTACAGACTACTTTTGGATCCTGTATGGTAGTAATAGGCTGTCCACCTCTCAGCTTCAGGGCGGATATATAAAATGTTCATGCATACATTGCATAGATACAGCTTTGACTTAGTTCCAAATTAATTTCCAAATCTACTATATTAATGGAATTTTATCCGCCTTGATGAAATTGATATACCTCTATTTGCACCCGAACGACTTTAACTCTTATACTCAACAAATTTCTACCCATACACCCTTACCATGGCAGACCACGATCAGTCGGCACATCCATGCCCTCTTATCACTGTCTGCACTGTCCGCTATTCAGTCAGTACATATTTGGAAATGTTCAATTATTGCCAATAAATGGTTTAGTATGGATTGAAAGCCGGGCACTATTTAAAATATTTACCGTGGTAAGAGTAAAAGCTACATTCCCACCAGAGAACGAGCAATGTGCAAAAAAAAAACAACTTTACAATTTATAAGATACTTTCTTGCAATTTTGATATTGAAGTCCCTACTGTACTGTTACATGTGTGTACAAATTTAAAATAAATTGCCTATTTGCTAAATATAATCATTAACAGCAATTAAAAGGAGGATGTGGATTTAAGTCATTAAAGTTCGCCATAATTGAGAAAGCTAGTGATTACAGTAGCTGCTCTTTCAAGCCAAGCACCATTTACCCTATGAATAAGATTAGAGAAGTTATCGAAGATAAAAAAATTCTTGTCAATTATCTTAAATGAATAATTTCTTACATTAAATAAAATTTAATCAAGTCAAGTAAATTTTATTTATAAGTTGGATACATATAACAATAAACATAAGCTCTCATGAGCTTTTCACACCGACTATTAAAAGTAGTCAGTCTTAGACTTAACGTTAAATAACGTTAATTTAATTAAATAAATACTTAAATTGTTAATGTTAGAAATTATTCAGTTGAGATGTACTTTCTGACTTTGTTCTCCTTTCGCTTAAATCATTCAACAGGTAAGGGGGTGAGGTCCTAAATATATATATTCTTAAACATTTAATATGCTTATATGTCATATTAGACAAAAGAATAGTGATCTCTGGATTACTTCCATTATTAGTCACTAATTTCCACATTAATGTGACGTTTGCGCTTGCGACATAAATACGAATTATACATGCAGGTAATATTTAAATAATGTCGTATAACGGTAATATCACATTGTATCAATAAGACGGTTTGCATGTAGAGAAAACAAGCTAATTCAATTGATCTTGAAGTGTATAAAATTACGTTTTCCAATGGCCGTACAATACGCATTAACAATTCATTATACAAACAGAACTTACCTTGTCTCGGATTAAAGATCAATATCCTATCCGGCCGGTACGAAAATTAAGAAAATCACTTCAATTTAAAAGTATTTAGACATATCCAACTGGACAAGAATGACAGTTGATCGAAAAAGTTGACACACTTCGTTTTGAACTTAGTCTGCGTTTGTCACGGATGAATTCAAGTATGTAAATGGGCTGGTTATATATTACGAGACGTAAACAGACTGTGGAAAGATTGATTTACAAATAGAGAAGTATGTCATGGTCCAATAGAATCAGTTTTTAGGTATACATATGAAACTGGTTTGCAATTTTATATCGATGTTTTATTTATTTTATATAGTATTATTTATGATTTTAATCGCAAGTATATTTTATTTTGTTTGACTTCTTTTATGCGTCGATAATTTCTATTATAACAGCTAATCTCTTAAAAATCAATATTATCTATAAATAGTCATGTCCTGATGTAAACACCTGTGACAAGCATATTGATTTTGTCAACAAAACAACATTTGCAATACATTTTAAAATAATAAGAAAAAGATATCTTTGGACGGATAAATTTATGGGGTGTATAGTTAAATTTAAAAAAAAAGAAATTTGTATGGAGCACTTGTTGCACAAATAATCCTTTCTTTTGCAACGCTTGTTTTCAATAGAGAATCGCGATTTTAATTATTAGTAACACAATTTTGACAGGTTATATGGCATAATATAAGCAATCGCGATGCAAAAGTTATATTGCAAAAAACGTTTAATTGATCACAGTCATATAACTTGCCAACAATTATCTATCAAGCAGAATTTCTTAAAATAAGGAAACTTAATTTTTAAGTCAGGAATGCAAAGCAGTCGAGAATATGGATTTTATAATACTGCACGTTTGTAACGACACTTTTCATTGGATGATCGTGATTCTTATATTATCAGTTATAAAGACTTTTGACAGGTTAGAATTTTATGAAACAAAACCACAAGAAAATTTCGGTGGAGACCTAGATGTTTATTCGCAGGAATCCCAAACTACCTTACCAGAAGTTCAATACATTATTACCCTCTCCTCCCTCCTCCCCCATCTGTCGGTAGTTATAATCGGGATCACACGAATTACCAACTGAGTCCTCTGGTCGACATGGGAAGACGGGTGATTAGCATTTATTTAGAATTCTAGTCTATTTCTTATTCCTTTTGTGAAAAAAAAATATGTTTTTTTCTTGTTATTGTTTTTGTTGTTTGTCTTGTTGTTTTGAATTTTTTAAAAAAATAGAAAGACATTGGGGCTTGAGATTTCGCGAATATCCCGAATTCTTTTGAGTATTTGGAATTCATCGCTATTATGAGGAATATAAAGAGATACATCGTAAAATCATCAAATAGTATTGAACACACACACCACACTACATATCATGTATAAGAATAATTACATCAGATTTATTCTGGGATAATATTTTTTATCTAACGAAGTAGAGAAGATAAACATGCAATGTTTTGAGTTGAATATTATATAAAAACCTTTAGACAGATTTCGTGTATCAACAATTCATTCGCATAGTCGACATACAGATGAGATCTCAGATCATGGTGAGACGTCGCATGTTAGCATCATAATAAACAAGAGAACAGATATCAAAGTAGAGTTATATTATGTTGAATTTCGCAATTCGCGCGAATAGGATATAGATAACTATATATTGCGATAATACTCTGTATTATTAAAATCGTGACTGTCGTTCTGAACAAGGGATGCTATTATCATATACGACTTTGCCGTAAATGGATATCGGGGTCGAATTGTAATGTTTTAGAGTGATTTATTAATAATGACCGTGAATCATTCAGTCCTGCTATAGTATAACCTGTCAGTTTAATTTAGAGGAACTCGTATAATCATTTAATCTTTTTAAATTTATACTTTCAGAAAATATTAAGGGGACTGTAAAATAACTAATTAATATCGTAAGGTCTCCGACCTCAGCGTGTATAAAACTTACATAAACATCTAGTGCTGGTTTTCTTGTAATGAAGAAGCGATAAACAGTATAAACTGCAATGCAAATACTTATTATTTTTAAAGCATTTCGCATGATCTTGAAATCTAGAAAATGAAATTTCGTTCACAAAAAAGATCTATTGTTGTGCTCTATACATCTCTCAGAATTATACCTTTATATAAAAACAGATATAAAGATATTTGTTCTTCCTTAATTGCGTTATGTGTCCTTGATTATCATATATCTGTTCGTCTAGAGCACTGGTGTTAGTGTATCTAGAGCTACTTTTGGATACTGTAATGTGTAGTATAGGCTGTAGTTGCCACCTCGATTCAGCGTTTCAGGGAGGACCGTATTTAATATAAATTTGTGAGGTGCCATAACATTTTGCATAGAATACAGCTGTGATCGGGCTGGTCCAAATTATTCATTATATTCTCTCTACTATTTAATGAGAATATCTGGTATCCAGTTGCTGTTGATACGATAATATAGATAATTTAGCGATTCTATTGACTGCGCGTTCCGAACGACTTAACTCTGAATACTTCAATAGTAGGTTTCTAGCGCATACACCATACCAACTGTGTTCATGATCCAGGATCTATTGTCTTTGGATCCATAAGTCATCATTATGGTCTGCATGTCGCTTTTCAAGTCAGTACATATTTTTGAAATTTTCCAACTTATGGTCAAAGAATGGTTTAGATTTGGTAGAAATCCGTGTGCAAATCTTAATTTAATATTACTCGTGAGTAATCCCGTAAATTTGCTACTTCCACTTCAGGATGCAACGAGCAATGGTGCGAACAATAAAAGAAAAACTAACTTTACAATTTATAAGTACTGCTTTTCATGTTTCATGCAAAATAATTGTATGCCTGTATTTACAGGTGCTTTTTATCTTCTTACGTCAACTCATAACATAATATTCGAAATAAGAGCCTTTTTTGGTTCCAATCAAGAAACAAAAATAAAGTGAAAAAAGTGACTTAGCATAGCTTGACTTATTATAGCTTAAATCACGTTATTTCAATTCATTTCTACACTATATTTTACGGTAAATTCTTAACCTTGATTTCCTGATTAGCCTTTGCCACAGTACAGCCTGATCCCGGGTTGTATACAATTTCTATTGTTGTTGTTTGTTGTTTGTTCGTTTGGTTGGTTGGCTAGTTTAATTTTTTTTGTTTTTCTTTATTATTTTTTTTTCTATTTATTTATTTTTCTTTTTTTTTTGGGGGGGGGGGGGGAGGTGGGGGTGCAATTTGATATTGAAGTCCCTTTAAATTTGACTGGACTGTTACAAATTTAAAATAAATTGCCTATTTGCTAAATATTATCATTAACAGCAATTAAAAGGAAGATGTGGATTTAAGTCATTAAAGTTCGCCATAATCGAGAAAGCTAGGGATTACAGTAGCTGCTCTTTCAAGCCAAGCATCGTTTACCCTATCAATAAGATTAGAGAATTTACTAAAGATAAAAAAAATCTTGTCAATTATCTTAAATGAATAATTTCTAACATTAAATAGAATTTAATCAAGTCAAGTAAACTTTATTTATAAGTTGGATACAAATAACAATAAACATAAGCTTAATTAACAATTCATTGTATAAATAAACAGACCTTACCTGGTTTAAAGATCAATATCCTATCCGGCCGGTACGAAAATTAAGAAAACCACTTCAATTTAAAAGTATTTAGACATATCCAACTGGACAAGAATGACAAATGATCGAAAAAGTTGACACACTTCGTTTTGAACTTAGTCCGCGTTTGTCACGGATGAATTCAAGTATGTAAATGGGCCGGTTATATTACGAGACGTAAACAGACTGTGAAAAAGATTGATTTACAAATAGAGAAGTATGTCATGGTCCAATAGAATCAGTTTTTAGGTATACATATGAAACTGGTTTGCAATTTTATATCGATGTTTTATTTATTTTATATAGTATTATTTATGGTTTTAGTCGCAAGTATATTTTATTTTGTTTGACTTCTTTTATGCGTCGATAATTTCTATTATAACAGCTAATCTGTTAAAATTCAATATTATCTATAAATAGTCATGTCCTGATGTAAACACCTGTGACAAGCATATTGATTTTGTCAATAAAACAACATTTGCAATACAATTTTAAATAATAAGAAAAATATAGCAATGGACGGATAAATTTATGGGGTGTATAGTTAAATTTAAAAAAAAAGAAATTTGTATGGAGCACTTGTTGCACAAATAATCCTTTCTTTTGCAATAATTGTTTTCAATAGAGAATCGCGATTTTAATTATTAGTAACACAATTTTGACTTTTAATTGATCACAGTCATATAACTTGCCAACAATTATCTATCAAGCAGAATTTCTTAAAATAAGGAAACTTAATTTTAAGTCAGGAATGCAAAGCAGTCGAGAATATGGATTTTATAATACTGCACGTTTGTAACGTCACTTTTCATTGGATGATCGTGATTCTTATATTATCAGTTATAAAGACTTTTGACAGGTTAGAATTTTATGAAACAAAACCACAAGAAAATTTCGGTGGAGACCTAGATGTTTATTCGCAGGAATCCCAAACTACCTACCAGAAGTTCGAATTACCAATTAATTACCATCTTGTCGGTAGTTATAGGGATTCACACGAATTACCAACTGAGTCTCCTGGTCGACATGGGAAGACGGGGTGATACCATTCTTTAGAATTCAACTATTTTATCTTTTTGTGAAAAAAAATTCTGTTTTTTTTTGTTTGTTTGTTTGTTTTTTTGTTTTTTTTTAATGAAATACATGTTAGATTCGAATAACCGACCTTTTAGTTTGGAATTCACGCTAAATGAGGATATAAGGATACAGTCGTTTCCATGTTGAAAACACACATCTTTCTTGTTATGAATCTCTTATATTTATTCGGGAAAAGTTCTATCTATTTCGAGTGGAAAACCTGCAATGTTCGAATTACCAACTACCTTCTGGTTTATAGTTGGGGATTCGCGCCAATAAACAACTTAGTCCGCTGGTGGACATAAGGAGACAGTGTGTTTCTATGCTGGAGAACACATCTTTCTTTTCATATTTCCGTTACGTTTATATCGGAAAAAAACTTTTTTTAAAAGGTAAACATGCAAAGTTCGAATTACCAACTATACTTTCTGGTAAGTAGGTGGGGATTCACGCGAATAACAATTAGGTCCCTTGATCGATTTATGGTGAAGGGC